TTGGAGCAGGGGCAGAATTAAATGCCTGATTTCCATCCTCATTAGGGATACCACAAAATTCACAAATTCTGACCTGGTCTCAGTGCATGGCTCCTCATTGTCCCTGTAGCATAAGTGGACCAAACAATGAGGGTTTGACAATACTAAAAGGGACTCTTTGTGGACTCTGAAACTGTTTGACTGGCCTCTCTGTGGTCCTGTCTCATTCTAATAATCGGCTTAGTAGGGGTATAGATATGTGGCTGAGATTGGCGGGTACCTATCACACTAACAGTGTACAGCTTTCACTACCTGAGTACCCATAAATGCCTAATATTATTTCACTGGTATGTAATTTCTTCGAGTGCCTTACTGTACAATACAGACAGATTAAGCTAGGGGCCCATACAAGGGTGAATTTTTCAAACCCTCAGGCTTCAGTATGATTTCATTTTATATATTTTTTCAAAGGTTGAAATAGAAAATTAAAAAATTAAAAAAAATTTTTTTTTAAATAAATTCATCAGTAAATTTAGAAGTGGAAATCATTGACATGGAAAAAAATGATTTGCTGTCTTATTTGAGAAAGATTGTTTCTTTAACTTCTGTATCAGTGGTAGGTATGACTTGGATGAAATTATGTGTCCTTATGGGTAAAACCTGTGCCTATCCAGTTGTTCTTACGTCTTACGTCGTGGTGTACCCGAGAATTGGATAGATTAGCATTACTGAGATCTCATTTAGAGAGCTTGTATGAAAACATTACCAAATATCCTCACTATAAACACCAAGAAGATCTTGTTTTGTCAACGCGTGCTATTATCTTTAGGTATAGCTCTTGCACTACAGAACGATTCCTACTCTTGACAGAACGATTCCTACTCTTGACAGAACGATTTCTACTCCTCAGGCATGACTTATCATTATTTACTTGTCTATTGTTCAGAATCATGCTGAACACTAATACACTACACTCAAAGATTTAAAAACTTCATGATAGGTATTATGGGGAAGTGGTTTAAATCTGATGGAAAGATTAATGTGTATCTAGATGTATGAGTGCCCCCAGGGTACCTCCATGTTGGGGTGCCACTAATTCACTATTGTTCTGTACGGTATGAGCAGTACATTACCAAGAATAAACAAACATGCATAGCCCCTTAAATAGTCCTGGTAAGTGCCCATATATTCTACTGCAGGTGACATGTAGACTTCAGATTTCCTTTGTTGTTGTAAGAGTGATATAGACAACCTTTGTCCTGTCTCATTCCTGTGGTCTAGCTCATGTCCAGCTGGTCAAGGACTGGTCATTCTGAAGGCATGAAGAAACTTTACAAATTATATACATAATTTGTAAACACTGTAAAATGTCTACTTAATTGTTTTTAAAATTTCTTTTATAATTGACTTTTGATAATCTTTCAAGAAATGGTGTTTGTATCAAGTTTATATTGTGTTCAATAAAAATGGCTAAAATACCATATTTCTTCTGATACATATTTTTAAAAAATTATAATTAAAAATAAGAAGAAGTTGTTTTTAATACCCACAACATCTTTTGATTTTTTTTAGTAGAATTTTTCAGACATTTAAATAACCGTTTATGTCAACATACATTATTGATGTCTGTTGAAAATTAACTTGTAATTTAAATATTGTCTCAAAGTATAACGATTGAGAATTATTGAAATCTGTGCCTGACATTGAAAATAGAAAATACAGAATGTAACGATCAATTTTTTCATATTACCTTACCTTTCTCCTGCCCGGTTATCATGTAGATAATAGCCAGGTGAAACCGGCGATCACATAATGGTCTATGTTTGTGTAATGCAAAAGTCATGTCAAGTGTTTTAATGTTGGTGAGTTTGTGCCAACATCGGGCGACATTGGAATAGGATGAATAGGTAACAGATTGGGTCACTACTTTTAATCCATCGATTCAAACAGATTCTGCTTACACAAAGGTGCTGTCTTTTTTTAGACACAACAAAATATTTCATTTTTAACATTTTTATGTACATTTCATGGTATATGTAATTTGACCTTTCAAGTGAATGGAATTGACCCTAATACTTAATTCAAAGGACAAGTTCATTGCAAGTATTTTTTATTTGATCAGCAACTTGAATATGATAAAGTTGTCTTCCTCTGATATAGTGTTGATATAGTGTTTTGTGATGAGTGTGCTATCCTCCCCTTGAAGACGGTGATGTAGTGCTAAGCTGGTCTATACAGTGACATCCTCACGATGACTTAGTGTGGTCACAAACCTACCCTAAGTCAGTGTGATGCATTGTCCTCCGGATAAAACCCATTGGAAAAGTTAGGAATGTAGATGGTCCTGCCTGACACTCTACTTTGAACACTTGAAATTCTGTATAGGCGTAGAATTGTGTAGATTGTTAAACATTGTGTCGTGCCATGGGGAGGGAAGCGGACCCTTAGGGCCCCTGTCATCTGTGAAGTTCCCAGGGCGAGTTCTAGCACTGCTAACTCTACACATATTTACCCTACCGTACCTATGTGAACCACTAACACAACATCTGTCAACTATTCTGACGTTGATTGTGACAAATTTAATGTAAATTGAGTAAAATTACTGAAACCCTGATCATGTGACGTTAGCAATCTAGCAATGGTGGAGAGTTGTTTCTGGAGGCTGTTTAAATGGGATGATATGGTTTTGCAAGGGGAATGGGAGACCTTTACACCGAGCCAATGGGAAAGTGGGAAGTCAAATCTGTTGTACATGATTAGCAGTAATAAAACATTCAATATTTAATGTCACCAGACTCCCAGGCCCTTTGTGCTGTAATTATGTAAGGGGAGACAACTGACATAATGGGTGAGAATTGTCACATTTATAAACATGCATTCTGTATCCTGACAGATCTTGAGAAAATTGATTCTAACTTCATCAAATCATTAAAAAAAACTTTTTGCAGAAGTGAATTTCTTTGTTTACTTAAATGATTAATACAGAACGTTTTGAATTCTAAGTTAAGTAATTTGGTTTACTGATTAGAGCCAGATTTGGCAATGGGTAAAAATTTGCTGGCTTGTATTTTCTGCCTATAAAACAGTAGGACCTGTTAAATGTTTGGAGGGGTCCAGTGTAAGTTACACCCTAGACCAGCCGCTGAAACTGTACTGGCTGTTTACTGATGCAGCACTAGATCACTGATAAGGGGTCAGGGGTCGTAACTCAGGATACATCTGTTTTCTATCTTGTTTATACAGGTATTTACACTTGACACACAAATCCAGAACAGCACATCCAAACAAAATAAAAATTAATGGAACAACAAATTGTGTCGCTATCGCCCTACTCCTCGGTGTGTATACCAGTCATCCCTCATTGGCCAGCCTTTGAATCTGGCCTACTGGTAAATAACACGTCAAATTGGTTGGTAATTTTGGACATAGGTAATTGAAGATTTACCTAATTTGAAAATCTGGGCATCATTACATTATACACGAATACCAGTGTGGACAAGCTTCTGCTCCGATTCACATTACTGTTAGGTCATTTACCTGGAGCACAAATGTTTTTTTGTCTTCAAAATTCTTGAAAATAGAATATTTGCTTTGAAAACCCTTTTATAGGTACACAGGAATTAGTCACTTTGAATTGGTGTGAATGAAAAGTGAACTTGTTTATAATCGATAAATGAACTTTATGATGTTAGGGAAATGAAGGGGAATAACCCAGCAGAAAGATCTATGTTGAAGTCAGATGATATCAGATGGAGGTGAAAAATTTGTAAACCTGGCTTATGACGGACAAATATTTTGTTTGGATGGGAGCTGACAGTCTGGATAGTTATAATGTATGGTGATTACATTTGCTGTGGTGTGTGGTTTATTTTTTGCACATCAATTTGAGTTTTCAAACACCATGTGAACTCTTGTTTTAACATCAAGCATACACACAGAGTGAAAACCAATATATATGTCCCAGTTGATAAGTTCTAAAGTTATTTTTTGATGTTAGCAAACTATTTTAATTTTCAGAACACAGGGGGGGAAAATGAAAAAAATGGAAATAATGCTAATGCTACTATGTTGTACATTCTTGTCTGTGTATTGACTGGAAAGTCTTGGGTATAAGATGATCCATGTATATATAGATGCAAGGTGACAGAAATGTTCTTGACCTAGTACCTGTCTGGGTGAGAAGGGGTGGGGGTGCTTATTAGCATATGTCTGGTGTGTCTGGGTCACAGAGATGTATTTGTGACCCCCTGACCCCACCCGTCTACCTGCTGGGTTGTCCAGGACAGTACACCTGAATCCTATACAATCCATGACAGTACCTTTCTTGTCATCACGATCTCTAACAATACCAATTAATTTGGAACTATCTTCAACACGCTCACTCCCCTTAATGTGATATTTACTAAATCTGTATAAGATTTCAGTGAGACATTCAGCAAATCATGATTTGTTGGTAATTTCAAAGTACAGGTTGAATAATTCAGTACCATAGACATTTGTGACATATATAGATACTTTGTGTTTGGAAATGTAATGTACCGAGTGAGTGTGAGGGAATCTTGTCAGTAGAAAATGGAGGAGTGAATATACCTGTCATAGAGGTACGGGTGGTGTAGTGTATTTCATTACCACCGTCATACAAACTGCTCTGTTCTTGACCCTACCCTTGTCGACACACTAAGTATCATCTTTTTACAATTCCTACCTGAAGCTGTGAATTGTAAGGTGGCTTACTATATTTGTCACTCTGCCAGAAGGTTACAAGTGTTGTCTACATTTCTGTAAGGCAGACATTTTCTCACGACTTGGTGTTTTAAAACTGTTATTTTTGGGCCAGAATCGCACCTTTTCACGGTCATCCATTGACGGAGTCTGTCACTAGGCACAAAACACTTGTCTTTGACAAGGATAGCAATGGAAAGTTTGAATGTTCTTTGTAAATACTGAATGTCTGTAAACATTGTTGTCTTTTGATTATGATACATGAAGCTATGACTTTTAAATGTTACCTAATTTTTCAGGTTTCCATGGCATTCACTGTCAAGTGAATAATGACGACTGCTCGAACAGTAACTGTAGCAATGGGTCAACGTGTAGGGATGGAGTCAACTCGTACACCTGTGATTGCCCACCTACTCACACAGGTAGGTCTAAGATAGAATGAACAGGAAGAGAAAAAAAACAATAAAAACAGAAAAAAAAGTTCCACCACACAAACACCTTTAAAAGGAACAATAGAAAAGACCTTGTGTATATAGCAAAACAACCTCAACTAAAAAAAAGCTCTCCACGTAGTTTTGGATGACATTACTAGAAGTATGTCTGACACTGCCAAAAGATATCAATAGCAGTTGAATTCCTTTTTCGTGTATTTTTCATCTTAGTCTCCCTGTGATAATTAAACTGAGACTCGTTCAACACGACTGACATAAAATCTAATTTTACCTGTAATGGACCAACAAAAAGTATAAAAGAATGCTACTTTATTTATTGTTAAATAAACTCAGGTGGGCAACTCATGATCCTAAAAACGCAAATACAAATTTCAGTATTCAATGGTGCAACAAGCTCAGATTGGCAACACAATCTCTGAATTTGAATTTGGGAATTGATCACATGCTGCGATAGATATGGGTGGGCTAATTACCAGCCTTTGGTATTTTTTTTGTACTGTAAGATAAGTAGTCCGACTCTATCAGAAATAATTGGGATTCACTACTAGTGTCATACCTGGATGAAGTAAAATTATATCTCATACTGTTAAAAAACACACAGTAATAGAATTTTCAGATTCATTGTGGGAAAACAGGATATTTGTCTAGTGTGAATTCTCATGAGAACTGCCAGTTAAATTATGTAATGCATATTTTATATGAATGGGTGATGTAAATGAGTTAATAATAAGTGTTGACAGTCTCCTTGACTAAATCTTGATATCAAAAAGAAGGAGGGTGGAAAAATGTTGATTTTATTTTGAATATTTTGAAAAAGTATTCGCTACACAAGTGGCGTGAGATTTTTACCTGTCCTATTGTGTGGACATACCTGTACAGAATACTGGACCAGCAAAACAAGCAGGTGTCCACAGTTGTAGTGAAGGCATTCAGAGATGGCCAGCTTTTTAGAGGGAAATACACAGAGAATCTAGTGGGAGGGGTTTGAAGGTTGTAGTTTAGATTGTTAGGGGGAGGGGGTTGTTGATGGGTTACTGTCCTAAAGATTACAGTCTTAGATACTGGGCATAGCTTACTTTTATGATGTTAGAACAGATTAAACCAAAGCCGAAATTCCATCATGATAGATTCCTAAACAAGATTGGGAAAAGAGGGGGTAGTATTTACAAGGCAGACTTGTAGATTGGAGTTGGTCTATAGTTGGAGAGTCCAGGGTGTAGATTGAAGTAGAGATACCCACGTCTGGGGACCAGTTACAACAACCTGGTGGTTTTGTTTTCCCCTTGGTTAAAGATGTCCTGATAGAGCCAGTTACTATACTGGCAGTGTTTGAGGACTAACCTGGAGTTGATCACTGACATTGACACACACTAACTGCTTTGTTCTCAGCATTTAAATTTTCTATTGTTGAAACACATTATTTCACCTTTGTTTTGGAATTTCTGCAAACATTTGTAAAAAAATTCAAAGAGAAAAAAGAACTGACAAACGAGAAAAGGGTTTGATTTCAGTAGAACTAGTTGTAAATCTTATGAATCATTGGTTTGTTGTTTATTTCTGACAAAAAAAGCAACCTTTCCTTTGAGAATGTTACAAGTAATTGTTATAAGTAAAATACAGTATAAATAGATTTGGTATCAGTGTCCTGTCTATATTGTTGTCAAGACAGTCTCACGCTTATGGTTAATAAAACAGACATACTTGTTTCTCAAATTTTCATAAATAAGAAAAAACATATCTGTAAAGGAAACATAGACATTACATTTCGTGTGGGAAAAAAAGGATGTTCTGTCGTATGATACAATGGATTGATATTTTTTACCTCTTGACAAGGTGACGTTAATATTAGACCGTTCCCAGAATTGACTTCTAATAACCTATATTACACAAAAGTTTGGTTTTTACAATACAGTGTGTTACTACAATGACCAGTCATTAAATTGTTTCAACAATAAAAGAGGTTACGGTTGTGAGGTGGATTTTTTTTAACATACTCTTAGTGTTGAAGTAATGAATGGTTAGGTGATATGGGGAGATGGGATAAGGGAAGAAAGTAAGGTATCTATACATGTAAGTGACCATCCTATCTGGTTACTGTGAGAGGTTGTTGGACAGGGTTAGGGAAAGTTTGTGTTGTCCTGATTCGTCGACACTGAAAAAGCTTGTGACCATGTCAGTGGTAAAAAAAAATACATTGAGAAAAAACACTTTCCCATGGTAGTTTTACTGTGGTGTGATCAATTAGCCATCAAAAGTTAACACAGCTATTGAAAACCTCAAAATATGGTGCATGTGAACAGACCTCAGGCCAGTCCACACAAAGGCAAATTCACGGCCGACTGTAATTACTGAAGATATTTTTTAAGGGGGTTCGTTGGACTGTGTGAATTGTGCTGGAGATGAGGACACAAGATATGGGATTAAGGCAAGCATGTTGTCACAGCAACAAAATACTATAGAATCAACACAAACACTGGTATTTCTGTGGAATGCATATTTTTTTGTTGTTTAATTTATGACTAAATACAATTAGTATGAAGGAAATTTCATATTGCTTACAGATTTGTACTTCAGTTATGAAGTGTTGTGACTGTGTATTATGATATGATTGATCACAGATAAATGTCTCTTGTAGGTTAGATTTCTGACTACTGTAAACTTGTACCCTAAGATGAACAGGAAATAGAATCAGCATGAAGAATGCCCTATTATTCAAGTGAAGACTGAAAATTTCTCAAAATTGTCCTTGAGAAAAACATTAGAAAGACTTAACTAGTAATTTTTGCTTATAGAATAGCTATCAATCTCCCAATTGTAACCTTTTAACGTTTTGAGTTACTTTGTGGAGTTGGTTACCGTATGTTTATTTAAACTGTTTGCTGTACTTAAGACAATGGTCACAATGAATTGATTCTAACATTAGAAGAAAAATTATGTGCACAATGAGATTTGAACTTTTCATACATTGGAATGAAAGTTCTTTTTGGAAGTCTTGTTTTGTTTAGTGATGTTACTGTGTTAGACATCATGTTCAGTCTGGTCATGTTGCTGTTTCAAATGTTATACATCATATTAGTGTAGATAGGATGCTGTATATGACATGTCAGGGTAGATAGGATGTTGTATATGACATCATGTTAGTGTAGATAGGATGTTGTATATGACATCATGTCAGGGTAGATAGGATGTTGTATATGACATCATGTTAGTGTAGATAGGATGTTGTATATGACATCATGTCAGGGTAGATAGGATGTTGTATATGACATCATGTCAGTGGAGATAGGATGTTGTATATGACATAATGTTAGGGGAGATAGGATGCTGTATATGACATCATGTTAGGGTAGATAGGATGTTGTATATGACATCATGTCAGGGTAGATAGGGTGCTGTATGTGACATCATGTTAGGGGAGATAAGATGCTGTATATGACATCATGTTAGTGTAGATAGGGTGCTGTATATGACATCATGTTAGGGTAGATAAGATGCTGTATATGACATCATGTTAGTGCCTATAGAATGCTGTGATGACTAATGTTTACATAATTACATTTCAGGAACTTTCTGTGAAACAGATGTGAATGAATGCTTAGAATTTCCTGGAATATGTAAGAATGGTGCTACCTGTATGAACACCCCTGACTTTGATTATACTTGTATCTGTGTCAACGGCTGGACAAGTAAGGACTGTAGTGTCAACATCGATGACTGTCAGACCCAGCCATGTCTTCACAACGGAACTTGTCATGATCATGTTGGCTACTTTACATGTACCTGTCCACCCGACAAAACAGGTAGAGTCTTTATCTCTCATCATTTTGGTGTCAGTAGCACCTGTTTCCATTAAGTGACCTTGAAAATTATTGCAAGGTTAGAGATTCATTTATTTAATTGGTATAATTATTGTATTATTGAGGTGAGAATATTTTTTTCCTGGCTTAAGATTCTACCTTTACTCTCTGCAATTGATATTAGTGAGGTTCTTTTCATACTATTATGCTAAACCTGTGAATCCATTTACCTGAAGCATTTTATAACAATGCTCAATTCTGTCTAGTATTTTTCAAAGCTTGTCTATGATATTCCTATCACTGAAAAGCTCTCTACTTCTTTAATTGTAATTAAAGACCAGATTTGGCATGATAGTCTTGGTTTTCTAAAAGCTTGATGATTTATCTATGATTTTGTATGTTCATCAAACATTGGTAATGTGCTTGTGTACATGAAGCTTTATCGAATGATTTTGAACTAGAAGACTCTAAATTTGTTCTCAGCATGGTATCGAAACATAAGAAATTTTCACCTGCCTATTATGAGCCTCTGCGAGAGTTGTATGTTGCATGATACTAACTCTCTGTCTTGTCTCTGCTTGTGTGCGTGCATCTACAGGTCTTCGTTGTCACATGAATAACGCGTGTGAGTCGAACCCGTGTCAGAACAATGCTATCTGTGAGGCTTCCCCTATGAATGGTCAGTACCGCTGTACCTGTAGTCAAGGATGGACTGGTCCCACCTGTGAAACTGACCTCAATGAGTGTAAAGATGGTAAGTAACTTCTTGTGTTAATAACAAACAAATTATACAATAACTGAAATAAATAAACTATTGAATTGATTTTTCAAGAATCACGGATTGGTTAAGGTATTTGTAACATATCAAAAAACTAACTATATATGAGTCCAAATTTGAACACAAAAAAAGTTGAATATGGAAAAATAAAAGAAAGAAAATATATATGTTCCTTGAGAATAGAAGCTATGAATTCAAGCCATTCGAAAATATTCTTTGGAAAGGGTATCTTTTATAATGTGGTGATGTATTTTCAGCGGCTTTGGTCATCTGTGAGCATGGTGGCACTTGTCAGAACACCCAAGGCAGCTACTACTGCGACTGTCGCCAGGGATTCAGCGGCCCCTTGTGTGAGGAAAACATCAATGAATGTGTGTCCAACCCCTGTAAGAATGATGGCACATGTCTTGATAAACCAGGAAGCTACATCTGCCTATGCTTGGCTGGTAAGTTTACACTGGGATAAATCCCGCCATTTAAATTTACGAAAACATCATTTGTTTTAATATAAAAATTTCAGAGTAGATTTTAATTTCCATATTGGAAAAGTATTGCTTATATGAAGGTAAGCTGTAACTAAAATTGGGTGAAATTTGCAACATTTGTGCAATGGAGGTACGTTTGTATGGGACATGATGGGTGACTACCCGTGGGTAATGTAAAATTTGGGGATCAGGTACATAATGACCTGTAAATGGCTATTCATCATTAATTTCAGCAAAGGTTTGAATTGACTTTCATGTTTAATCATATTTTGACAAGCGATCTCAATTTTTAAAAGTAAGGGTTTTAAAATACCAATAGATATGTTGGGTGACATCAATACCATTTGTTAGGAAACAGAAAATGATGGAAATATCAGCAACTGTTGGAAAGACTAAACCTTTAAATCTTGTATAGCTCAAAGTTAAGTATTGCCATAAGTGACTGTCCATCAACTACCTACAACAGTGTTCACTGAACCAGAACCGTCCCAGGTATCCATACCTAAATAGAAGGAATTTGAAATTAGTGATATTTTAGAGAGGTTTACACATTGTTAATGTATGCAGCAGAGCAGGTCGGAGTTGTAAGTGGGGGTCAGAGGTCATGTTGGTAAAGTGTGGGAAAAATTGACTAACATTAGCGTGGTATACAGCATGATATACATATACCCTCAGTTAGGTGTTACATCCGTAGATGTAGTTACCCATAACAGTTTCAAGTCAGGTAGTTCTCCCGGTTTGTTTATCATCTGTAATGTCTGAAAGGTCCTTGTCAACACTTGAAAGCCTTTATTTTTAACAGTTACATATGTAATGTTTTTCCACAGCTTTGAAATTTTGAAGTCAGTGTATGACAGGTAACTTTCATGAAATTTTGTTTTAAGACTCTTATCCAACACTTTCCTAAAATAAAGTTTACATACTTGTGTGTATATCTTACCTGGATTTATATTGGTATCCAAAATATGTTGGGTTTTTTTTCTGTGAACATGAAACTCCTCTAACTTTTCAGTTCATAGAGTGTCTGTAACACTGTAAAGATCTGGGTTGAAATCTCCTTACATAATTGTTATTTTCCTTATCAGAATCATTGATATACAGTACAGGAACAGGATTTTTCCTAGCAAACCCTTGCATCTGAAGCTACAGTGCTACCTTTTAAATGGAGACTGATGTGCTAATCAACTATTATGGTGTGAAAATTGGTTCTCTTTACTTTAATTGGAACAGAGTTGATATCAATGACCTTTAGACTTTGATCTTAGTACATGTCCTGCTTTGATCTTCTTGATTCAGGACCTATTGTGAATTGTAAACTGACCATTTCCTGTCCTGGTCAGTAGTGCTGTGCTTGAGTTGAAGAGAGGTCATGACCTCTAATGCAATACCTAAGAATAAATCTAGTTAAGTAAGAATTGATTAAAGTAGAAAATCATGAAGACCATGACATCCTGCTGAAATTCATTTCTTTCATTTAACACATGGTTTCCATTTAAACATTTGCTATGGTAAAGTTTGACTTGTTTGTCTAATTTTGGATGTTAAGTGTAACTGTAGTAGAGCAGAGTCTGATTACCAGATAGGTGGTACCGGCTCCACAAAGAGGAGTAATCGGGTGTGACCTGGAGAGGGACAACCAACGCCATTGTCTTTCTTCTCACCATTGCATGATAAAACACCATAAAATGAATCTGTCCATTGGAATTTTAAATTCTAAAATCTAGAAACCACCCAAATGTGAAATTTAAACTTCAGTGTTATAAAATAGTGGAGTGGATATCATTTGTTTGAAATCTTCACCTCTGACTGTATCTATTTTATGTGATAAAGCGATATCAGGTGATTGATACATGGAGGGGTGGGTAGAAGGGTGAAGTGAATATCACGAACGATTCCAGATTTAAATGGTACAAGTGTAATAGGCAAACAGTGTTTTTCAATTTTTTTCACTATGGTATTACATGAGGTGTTTGAGTGTAGTTACGATGGTAGTTTTTGCCTCCTTTTTAAAGGTAACTAACTTTAGTTGGTAGTTGTGTCTGATCTGAAGCAATGATGAAGAGTGGGGGGGCAAAATGATATCACAGAGGCTCCTTGTTTTTATTAAAGTGATTTGCACAATCAACAAAATATCTTTTGAATTTATTTTCGTAGTTAAAAAAGGAGTAAATAAAATCCTGTCCTGTTTCATGATAAGCTATAACAGGGTAGGTATTATGATGAATGATGAATTAAACGTAGAAATAGTCAATCATAGTTGAAAATTTAATTTACAGTCCAGGGAAATTTATCTAATGTATCACACAGTGATGTATATATCAGTTGATACATTAAAATAATTATTGACAGGCTTCATGATAAATATGTCAAAACACACAGGCTTGGCATTAATTTCCTAATCATGATGTCTACCAAGATCTAACAACAAAGAGAAACTAAAAAAAAAAAGTCCAAAGATAAAACAAATGTATAGAAGTATGATTATATAATGTTAATTACTTTGCACTGATACGGTGATAAGGCTAAGTTCCCACAGTTGAAAGGATCAGTTGAGTCTAGGGGACAGGGGGAGGGGGTCACAGCAAACATGTGGCAGTCAAACTCAGCAAAATCATATTCTATAAGTAATGTTTTTGAAATTAGAAATAAATACTGTAACAGTGGTGAAACCTGCTGTGTTAGGGGATTGGGAGGGGGAGAACAGCTTTCTCCTTCTGTGTTGCTGTGGTGATGGGGTCTGTTCCCACGGCTATGGAATACTTAGGCAGGAGTTAAAAAAGCAGAAAACAGCCCGAGCACTAGTGAAGGCTGATAAGATCTGCCCGGGGAATGTTGTTACATACACACACTGTAGTTGTAGGGTGTTGGGGTACTGGGGCGTGGATGCCATCACACATAGTACTTCTCATTCTCTTTATATGTACAAAATGGTTTTGACATCATAAAGATTCTCTTCCATATGTAATTATGAAACTCTTATCAATCCAGTTTTTCAATTTATTTTTTCACATATTTAACATGGATAAATTAGATGTAAGATTGGAAAGATCTATTTAAACTTTTGAAAGTGAGTAAACTAAATGTATTAAAACCAGACGAGAAAAACCCAGAACTTCCCATAAAAACAAATGTTGTTCAAGTTTGTATGTGAGTTGTGGTTCATCTGCTAAGTTTTGAATGTCTGAAACATATATTTGAAAAACCAGACAAAAATTTATCTGAATGGAAAGTAAGCCACATCAGGGCCTCCAGCAAAATTGTAGATTTTGCAGCAAATATGATAAAGGATTGCATGACAAATTATTTTCGGCTTGTGAAGCATCAGTGACAGTATCATTTTATCAGCTTTCGGGACCTTTTATAACTGTCTATTTGGTGTTAAATGTGGGTTTTAAAGAGTTCAAAAGCCTTACATTGATCACAGCCATAACAAATGCACAATACATCTCATGTATGATTTAAAATCATGATCGACTGATTTAGCCTTGTCTAAAAAAACAATAAAATGTTGGCTGAGGAAACCAATTTGAATTGATATGAAAGCATGTTTCATGTTGAATGACACGGGGCATGGTTGTGTTTTAACAGGATTTGCTGGTTCTAACTGTGAGGAAGAGATAGATGAGTGTTCCACAGACCCCTGTCGAAATGGTGGGACCTGTGAGGACCAGGTTAACAAGTTTCGCTGCTTCTGTCCAGCAGGTGGGTGTTGATAAGTCCTTCCTATATAATCTCAGGAGAGTTTGTCTGTCACCAGTCTTAAAGCTTTTAAAAATATGTGTATCATACTTTACATAATAGGGAGTATTGGAAATCAGTGAAGGTAAAACTTAATCAAGTTTTTATATAGATGTTACACAACAATGATAGGACTTATTTACTGTATCATATGTTACACAACAATGATAGGACTTATTTACTGTATCATATGTTACACAACAATGATAGGACTTATTTACTGTATCATATGTTACACAACAATGATAGGACTTATTTACTGTATCATATGTTACACAACAATGATAGGACTTATTTACTGTATCATATGTTACACAACAATGATAGGACTTATTTACTGTATCATATGTTACACAACAATGATAGGACTTATTTACTGTATCATATGTTACACAACAATGATAGGACTTATTTACTGTATCATATGTTACACAACAATGATAGGACTTATTTACTGTATCATATGTTACACAACAATGATAGGACTTATTTACTGTATCATATGTTACACAACAATGATAGGACTTATTTACTGTATCTTATATGTTACACAACAATGATAGGACTTATTTACTGTATCATATGTTACACAACAATGATAGGACTTATTTACTGTATCATATGTTACACAACAATGTTACACAACAATGATAGGACTTATTTACTGTATCATACACAACAATGATAGGACTTATTTACTGTATCATATGTTACACAACAATGATAGGACTTATTTACTGTATCATATGTTACACAACAATCATATTACTGTATGTTACACAACAATGATAGGACTTATTTACTGTATCATATGTTACACAACAATGATAGGACTTATTTACTGTATCATATGTTACACAACAATGATAGGACTTATTTACTGTATCATATGTTACACAACAATGATAGGACTTATTTACTGTATCATACGTTACACAACAATGATAGGACTTATTTACTGTATCATACGTTACACAACAATGATAGGACTTATTTACTGTATCATATGTTACACAACAATGATAGGACTTATTTACCGTAATTACCTGATAATTTAAAGTAGAAAGATTTTTTTCTATTACATTTACAAGTGTTTGATGCTAAAACCTACATTACCAGTATTTATGATTTGATATGTAGTAAGAATGGGACAGCCTGGGTTTTTTTTTTTTTCGTGTTACCATGACAACGTACAATCTTGCCTGTCCTTCTACACCCAGGGTTTACTGGTACCACCTGCAGCCTCAACATTGACGAATGCCTGAGTAACCCATGCGTCAACGGGGCCATTTGTAATGACACCATTGACGGATATATCTGCAACTGTTTGCATGGTAACCATCCATACCCTCCTCCTCCTACTGTTTCCCCCTCCAGTATAGACCAGTGGCTAATCAGAACATTCTGCTCTAGTTGTGTAGACCAGTACTGTGTAGTATAATTTCCTGTTAAAATTTTTGGATAAATCCCTTCTCAGAGGATGTATGATATAATGTTATGCCCTTTATATAAATTGCTTAACAATCCCATGTTTCCTGTGTTCTACATTTGATATATAATATTGTTGTATTTTGTCTTTTACAGTTCTATAAAACACGAACCATGATATTAATGTATGACTTTACTGTATGATACTGTATGCTCTATATGATTGCTGCTCGATTCTCTTCAATGATTGCTTTGATGATTGACAGCTGTGTACTGATGTATGTGATGCTACCCACATTGCCTGTTCAATAAAACTCTTATTTTCTATACCCAAAAACTTTCATACTTCAAACATCTCCCTACACGATAGAATGCATTCCCTTAAGTAAAACTTGTTGTGGAAATTATTTAATGTTCATATTTTTGACCTTGTAAAACTTTTAAAGTATATAAATTATTATAATTGATATGATTATATTCAGAGTGATGATAATTTGACCTCATGTTGCACAGGATTTACTGGCAGTCGATGTGAACAAGACATTAATGAATGTGAAGGCATTAATTGTCACAATGGTGACTGTGTGGATCTCCAAGGTGACTACCGATGTGACTGTCACCGTGGCTACACTGGAAAACACTGTGATCTGGACATCAATGAGTGTGATGCCAATCCTTGTCAGTATGGTGGAACCTGTGTCCAGCTCAAAGATGGAGGCGGGTATGACTGCCAGTGTCCACTAGGAACCTCAGGTAAACACTTATTTATTTCTGTGTGATTTTTATATGTATTCTTGGGCTTATTTCCATGACTTAATGACCCTAATATGTTCATCGTTAACATTAACAAGATTCAAAAGTACCCAGATCATAACAGAGTTCAAGTCTGTATTTATGGATTCTGTAAGTTATGGTCTGTCAATGTAATTAATTAAATATGTAACTATATATATATACACCTAGTTACATTTAACACATCTCAAACAGTGCACACAGCAGGTCTTATTCGATGACAGGATCATCTGGAATTTGTTTGAACATTATTAGGATAATTCTTGAGTTTTATGACAGAAGTTGACAATAGTTGCACCTGTTGTTATTTTATCATGTGTCATCTACGACCTTGTGATTACCTATGTCATACCTTCACACAGGTATTGATAATTAAAAGGTGAGAAATAGGTACTAGTGAAAGGTTCCCATCCACAGATTCATGGGTGGATAAACACACGTTACACACCAAATCATGAATTATTCATGCATGAATGTAATAAATTTGTGGTTTACGACTAAGGTGTTCTGATAGAAGGTGAGAACCTGGAATCTAAAGATGTAGATGGAACCAGATACAGATATATCCCAGCTTTAGTGTTATCTGGCTGGTAAATCATGTACCTATTTAGCTTTATCTCTCTGGATAATAAAACCATTTTGAGTCATCCTTGAACACAATTTCTACCCCCAATTACATTTCATTGCAGATGTTTTAGAAAATAATTGTTATATAGTCCAAAATGAGACATATTTATGACCTAATGGACTTTGAAGTCAATTTGTCGGAATTGAAATCAGATATATAAACAACCCAAAAAACCAGAATCATACAGATGCAGTCAGATGAAGGTGTAAAACTTCTGGTTGTAGTTGAAAGTATTTGATATGGCGTCAGCTTGTCTGTCTTTCTGATCATCCTTCTGTCTGTCTGGTAGGGATGGAAAGCATACATGAAACATTTGGAGCACTACCATCTGATATTGATAGTTAATTCTGTTCTATTACATTGATTTGGTGATGAATTTAGGTCAAGGCCAGTCATTCTAATTGGATTGTCTGTGTTAAGGCCAGTTGTGTACAGCAGCAAAAAAAAAGAAAATCCATTGTCCTGTTGTATACACTTACTTGTCAAGATTTAAATACATTTCAGTTTTTAACCAAAATGGCTCTGAATTTAAAGGTTTTTCCCACCAGGATTTTGAAATGTCAACATATGAGATTTTAGTAATAATTTTAGTTTTATACCCATCCTCCTTAGTGTACACATTTCCATTCAGGTGCAACATTTATGATAGGACTGTCTCCTTTATACTGCACTTGCATTGATTGTATACTCAATTACCTGGGGTTAGAAAGATTTTATGAAGTAGATGTAAAATTGTGTCACAGTATGGCAAGAAGTACTGAACAAACTTAAATGTCCTGTACCTAAATCAGATCTGTGTTCGATGTTGCATGACAGTCTGTGAGGTACAATTGGGTCGTCCCCATAGAAGGTGAGTCACCATCCGTGAGTGAGATAACACGACAAATTGCCTTAATCCCCACCTATAATTCTACCTATTGGTAGGTAGAACCCATTGTTGTACCGCTACAACTCACTAACTTCCCTCAGGGATTAAAATTTAAAAGATTGAAAAAAAGTAATATTATCCTGATTGTAGCTTTTGTTTGGTTGTTAAAACTCTCAAAGTCAAACCTGATACCAAGATTAGTCGTTGAAAGTGGACTTTAATATCTAGGATTTTGATTTGATGTGAAAGACTACAGAAGAGGCACATGCACAGCTTTCCCACGACCAAGACTCTTTTATTAGCTAAATAAAGATAAACGTGATTTGTATAATGTTGAATCTGCTGTACAATTGTTGTATACATGTTCTAGATACCATGGGAGGATTCACATAAAGTCATCAGATGGAACAGTAAAGAAGGAGACTAAAATGATAAGATTGAGAAAATATAATGAAGATTATTCATTATAAAATTTCGAATGATTCATCAACAGTTGGTTCATCAGTGAAGAACCTGATTTATCCTTGTTCATCTCTTACTGAAGATGGGCAATTTGACTCATGTAACAGTGAATGCTGATTATTGAAATCACTTTTTTTTATATGTTTTTTTTTTTTTTTTTTTAAATACTTATATTTTGATCCTTATTTACTCTTTATTTGTTTTCTGGTGGGATTCATTTTAGATAGTTTATAGGATTATCATACAAACATTTGAACTTTCTAAACAGATTTTTAGAGATTTTATTCAATAATCCTGGTACTGGTAATGGAGACACAGTAAATCAGGTGTTGAAATACACAAGAGCTAGAGAGGATTAATGTTGCGTTTCATCAGTGTATATCCCCCACCTTACACAAAGAGCCAACAATAGTATTTGGCTGTCATAAAGTATCAAAGCCAGTCAGATTTCATTTTTAAATCTGTAATTCAATTTTACAATACCAATTTAAATGCAGACGTTTAGCCTATCCAAATCCTTATTAACACAGCGATTTAAGGAACTTTTCATAGATTATGATTAAAGGAAAGATTACATTTCAAAGTTACATACAAGAAATAAATTGAAAATGCATTATTTCTTTTGACCAGCAATAATTTTTCCAAAATGTAATGAAGTATTGAACTGCCTTTTTAAAGCCCCAACATGGAATAACATCTGTTTATACTTATTGTTGGACAGGAATGTCATTGTTGAACTGAAAGAGACATCCCTGTCACCACAACTAATTATTCAAATCTTACACATTACATTTCCCCTATTCAGAATTTATCAGTTTTCAATCATTAAGTTTTTGGTACGCTGTTTTTTACGAAGAATTTATTCTCAAGAAGAAGCAAACTTTGAACACATTTCATACATAACTTCTGTGAGCAGAGAGCTTATTTACTGAAGTGTTTGTCTGACTTTGAATTTGGCTCCATTTCCTTCGAAGACCGGGACCTAGATTTTTTTGAAAATGCTCTGATTAAATGAGTTTTCACACTAAGTGTTACTTTTCCAGGTATGAACTGTGAGAAGAACCATAATGAATGTTCTAACAATCCCTGTTTCAATGATGGCATCTGTGATGATGGGATCAACACCTATTCCTGTACCTGTGAACCAGGGTATACAGGTAAAAATCTCTCATTAATCAAAAATCAGGTGCTTCAGGTGTTGTCGTAAAGGGCATCAGATAAAAGAGGTACTCGGTAACTGAGATAGAATAACTTGTTAACTGTAGTTATTTCATCAGAATGATGATAAAGGTTTGAGTACAGTAGCTAATTATCTTGTTAACTGTAGTTATTTCATCAGAATGAGTACAGTAATTATCACAGATTGTTCCTATTCTGATTTCTGTTGTTTTGATTGCTTATTGTTTAACGAACTTTACAGAGTAAGAAGTGTTAATCAGTTTGTAGATTTGAAAGTACTGATTTAAATGTTGTTTTTGGAAAAAGTATCAAAGTTTATTGAATAAGAAATGACCATGTGGATTCAAAGTTGGTTTTTTTTGTTTTATTACAGGGAAAAACTGTGAGACAAATATTGATGAGTGTGCTTCCAATCCATGTCACAACTCTGGCAAGTGTGTGGACGGTATAAATGGGTTCCGCTGTAACTGCCCGCCAGGATACTATGATGAACAGTGTTTGTCTAATATTGACGAGTGTACCAGTAGTCCTTGTCTCAATGGTGGTCAGTGCAAGGATGGAGTCAACAGGTATGCTGCAGCTTAAGCAAACATTTACAAATATTGAGATCAGAAAAAAGGTTAATGTTTTGTTGAGATAGCTGATGTCTTGGTGTGAGGGGAGACAACTCTTTGAAGTCTTTTGTACTTGTTTCTGTAGATTTGACTGTTTGTGTCCTGATGGGTATGAGGGAGCACGTTGTGAGTCACAGAAGAATTATTGCCAGTCCAATCCATGCCAGCACCGTGGTGAATGTGTAAAATTCCTGGGCGGATACAGGTGTCGATGTCTGCCAGGCTATACAGGTAGGTGTCCGGGGTTTGCATGGCATTTACTGAATATGTAACTGCCATAGCACACTATAAATGATGCAGGAATATAACACCACAATGAAAGAGAAAAACTTCAAAACCAAAATTTTTTTGAGATTTGATTGATAGGTTTTATTAGGAGACAATAGTTTCTCCAGAAATTTGTATCGTAATTTTTAACATTAATTACCACTGAAGTCTTCATGTTCAAAAGACTAAGGTTTGATGACTCTTTCTAATAGGTGTCAACTGTGAGATTAACATTGATGAGTGCCGCAGTAACCCCTGTGTCCATGGTAGTTGTATTGACCTGGCCAACAGCTATCAGTGTCACTGTCAGATCCCTTGGTCTGGTACTAACTGTGACCAGAAGATGGATCCTTGCAGCTCTAATCCTTGTACTAATCAGGCTACTTGTACCAACGACCTTGACTACAACGACTTCTCATGTAGCTGTAAGCCTGGCTACACTGGTAAGCTTTTATACCTGGCAATAAATCCAGATAAACCTATCACTTGAGAAATTGGAGAAATTGCTAAGATCATTATGGAAAAACAACATGGAGTTTCATTTGCTGGGAATAGAGATGAATTGTTAATATCATTTGGCATTTCAGCTACTAGTTCGTTTGATTTCAGATCTAATGATTAAAATGATAGAATGTCTGTGGTGACCAGATGATTATCATTGATATGTTATTTCCAGGTCGTTATTGCCATGAAGATGTCAATGAGTGTAATCACTCACCATGTACTCATGGCTACTGTACCAATACCATGGGTTCCTTCAACTGTACTTGTCATCAGGGCTTTGAAGGGAAGTACTGTGAGATCGACCATGACGATTGCTTCCCCGACCCTTGTATGAACGGTGGCACATGTTTTGACAAGACAAATGAGTATACCTGTGTGTGTCGTAAAGGCTACACTGGTACCAACTGCGAGATCGAGATCAACGAGTGTAATTCCAACCCCTGTCAGAATCAAGCTGTGTGCACTGACTATGTAGATTCCTATGTCTGTTCCTGCCGGGCAGGATTTAGTGGAGTACACTGCCAGAACAATGACAATGACTGTACATCCAGGTAGGTCTTTAATCTGCCAAGATCATACTATGTTTTATCAGATATATACTATACAGGTTTTTTTTTTTTTTTTCGTTGGTTCAAATTTTATCAGATTATCATTCATCATTATTCTGTCCTCAAAAAATAGCAAAGTATAGAACCTCCGAAAATCATTGAAATTCAACAGAGTCAGACAAATCACAAAAGAAATATGTAAACTTCCATAAATGATGTTGTGCTTTTCATCCTTATAAGAGAACAATGGTAAACACGAAACATTATATTTACAGTTCCTGCTTGCACGGTGGTCACTGTATTGACGGTATTAATGACTACCAGTGTATGTGTGAACTGGGATACACTGGTTCTAACTGTCAGCATCGTATTAATCCCTGTGACTCTAACCCCTGTATGGAGGGGGGTACCTGTGACAACCATGGCTCGGCCTTTAGGTGCTACTGCCCCTACGGACTGACAGGACCTCGCTGCGAAGCATTCGTCGACTGGTGCACCAACAACCCTTGTAAGAATGGAGCTACCTGCACTCAGGAGGCACATATGTACATGTGCACATGTGCCCCGGGGTGGAATGGCCCAAGATGTGACATCAGCGCTGTAACTTGTCTTGCTGCAGCCAATATAAAAGGTGTGTACCAAAGGTCAAATTTTGAAAAGTTCCAGTATGTGTTTAAATATAATTGGGTCGTTTGGCACTTGTAAATATTTGTTTTATCAACTTAATTGATTGAAATATTTTATTCTTCAGGTGTGCCAGTTACTGAACTCTGCCAAAATGGTGGTATCTGTGCTAATGTAAATAACAGCCACAGATGTACATGTAAACAAGGTTACGAGGGCAGCTACTGCGAGGATGACATCGATGAATGTGCATCAGCACCCTGTCAGAATGGCGGTTCATGCCAGGACAATGTTGGCAACTACAAGTGTACCTGTCCGAATGGCTTTATGGGTGCAAACTGCGAGATGAACATCAATGACTGTGCCAGCAATCCTTGTGCTAATGGTGGCATATGTCATGACCTGATTGCCGACTTCCAATGTTCTTGTCCACGCGGCACTCGTGGTTTACTATGTCAGTATAATGAGGAAGACTGTTATGCTGGAGCTTGTCATCACAATGGTACCTGCGTTGACAAAGTCAGTGGCTTTGAGTGCATTTGTCCCGCAGGATTCGTTGGCGAGCATTGTGAAGGTGACGTTGATGAATGCCAGACACAAAGACCATGTGATCCCATTGGAACTTTCAGTTGTGTCCAATTAAATAATGACTACCGCTGTGACTGTAACCCAGGCTACACAGGAAGACATTGTTCTCAACCCATGAACTTCTGCATGCCCAATCCCTGCCGCAATGGTGGAACCTGCACAAAAGCACAACATAGCTATCAGTGTGCATGTACTGGGGTAAGTCATATCCAACAAAACAGATTTCCTCTTTGGACATGTACAGTAGATTTATTGTATTCTTATTTGAATGTTTTATGGATATAATAGCGATGTTGGCTTTTGTTTTTGTGTAGCAGTATTCTGCATCATTCAAATCATATTTTATTTCATAACTGGTTTCTACTCTACAGGGTTACTTTGGAGATTTATGTGAGCTGAGTGCCTGTACTAGCTCTCCATGCCAGAACAATGGTATTTGTATACCTAGTTTTCACGGATTTGTTTGCATGTGTGAACAAGGGGTGACAGGTGACCGATGTGAGATTGATGAAGTGGACGAATGTGTCTCTTCACCATGTCAGAGAGGGAACTGTATAGACAGACCAGGTAAGTGGGATAGACCTTAAAGCTTGTTTATAATTGAAAGTTTATCTGGTTAATTCAGAATAAATCATGTGTTTCTTGGAAATACAATTGGATTAGCAACTTCAGAATAAAATAGGCATTGAGTCTACTAAATACTGCTAGCTTTGGTTTTGTGTTAGCCCTCGTACTGAATAGACAAATTTAGTATATCATAAGACTTATATATTAACTTACAGATAAAACTCACAAAAGATGAACCAGGAATTCTTACATGATGCTATATCTTTTACAGGCCGATATGAATGTGACTGTCCTGTCCGCTACACTGGAGTCAACTGTCATATATTTGACCCAGCATCCCAAGGGGGTATTGGAACTGACCAGATTACAACTCCCTCTACAGATACAGGTTCCTCCTGTCCTATGGCAGAATGTGCTTCCAAAGCTGGAGATGGAATATGTGATGTACGTATGAAAGTGTTACTAAGGGGCAGTTTCTTTTACTCTTTAGTAAATATTTAATAAAAATAAGATGCTATTTGTATTTAACTCAATATAAATCTTGCTGTATTTTGATAACAGCATTACATGTTCATCTATTTCTATTACAGAAAGACTGTGCGATTGTGGACTGTGAATATGATGGCGGTGACTGTTCACTTGGTTTCCTGAAGTTATGGCAAAGGTGTTCACGACCACGTAATGGTGTAGCCTGTTACAATGCCTACAACAATTCCCAGTGTGACCCGGGATGTAACAATCCAGACTGTCTGTTTGATGGTGGAGACTGTAATGTGAAGGAACCTTGTAATCCTAGCTACAATCTTTACTGTGAGAAACACTACAAGAATGGACACTGTGATGCTGGATGCAATACCACTGCCTGTAACTGGGATGGCGGAGATTGTAGTCAGAAACCAAATATCCTCCCTGGAACCATGGTGCTTTTTGTCATGAAAACCCCAGAGGAATTTTTTCAGGACTCTCCAAAGTTTCTAAGAATTCTTGGACAACTTCTCCAGGTCATTGTGAAAATAAAGCTGTCAAACAAGGGAGAAAAAATGGTATATCCATGGAAACCTACCCCAGTAGCATCATCCCGTGCGAAGAGGTTTGCAGTAATGCGTTCACTACGCTCTGTCCCTGATGATGAATATATAGGGTAGGTCATATATTTCACCCCACAGATTCTGTATAAACTGAGAATTTTTGATACGAAGACAAGTCTCTGTCTTCGCAATTCTAATATGATGTAGAGGATTTTCCAGTTATTACTTATCCTCAGACAGAGGATACTGACATGAGGCCGATATGACCCCATAGTGTTCGAACATCCCATTTCTGATAAAACCTTATCAAGAAAGACCTGAATATTCGGACGTCTAATCTGACTTATATCTTGTAGCCTTTTGAGTAACTCAATGACTGATGCTTCTGTTATAGGAGTGAAGTACATTTGGAGCTAGACGGCAGTCTGTGTCAGGCCAAGAATTGTCTCGAGTCTGTGGACACTGCAGCAGAAGTCCTAGTTGCATCCATACAGAAAGGCTGGACTCCTCTAGTACCAATCCGTCGTGTTCAAGGTGAGTAATACCAGTTATAGGAAGACTTGTCACTGAGGAAGATTATCAGAATGGTTTGAAACCAAGATTTCTCTAAAATGCTCTACAAACATGGTTGTATGAAATCAAAAACATCTCAGTTTGTAACAGTGGGTTGGACACATGTATATCAGTGTAACAGTAGGTTAAGTAGGAGTATGTAATAAAATGTGAAATAAATCATTTAAACTTCAAAATTTTTAATTCATGGATGGATGAACCTCTAATAAATCAAGTAATTAAACTCTCTCTGATTGTGTTTCAGTGAATGATCAACCAGACGAAGTTCCTCCAATTGAAAGTAACAGTACTATATACGGAGTTGTCGCGGGTGTTTCTGTGCTTGTCCTTACCTTAATCATCATCGTCGTCCTGTCAAGAAAGAGAGCTTCTGGTAACACTTGGTTTCCAGAGGGATTCTTCACAACTAGTAGCAGTACACAGAAGGACTCTACAAACTCCTCCAAACGTCGGGTTCCTGATGGCGAAGAGGGAAAGTAAGTTCATTGTCAGGCAGGTTAGGAAGATACCAATGAATTCCAAATTTTTCACTAGCGATATAGCTTCTTAGCTTGCCAAATATGACACAATGTACTCTTATCTTACAGAAATATGAAGGGTTTGTGTGATGGACTTGATCATCATGGGTGTACTTCTCCACCCTGGGACCCCGATGACCAATCACCCAAAACCAAACGGGTCAAAGTGAGTACATACCTTATAGCATGTCAATATTGTAGACTCATCATAATTCATATTTATAGAATTGTCAGGAGTGAACACTCGGAATAGAAAGTATTGCCAGATGTCATACAGAGAGTTCAATCCATGGTTTTACATTATCAAGCTGGATTCTTTTATACAATTTGTAATTGATTTTCAGCTTGAGCAGGAAGACCCAGAGTATGATAGGGCATCAGATATGCGTCCCTGGACCCAGCAACATTTGACAGCTGCTAATATCCCTAATGACATGGCCTTGACTCCACCAGAGGACCATAGTGGTGTGAAGGATGTTGATGTAAGAGGTCCAGATGGCTTTACCCCACTTATGTTAGCGTCGTTTCGCGGTGGCGGTCTGGACTCGGGTGTAGATGATGATTCTAGTGGTTCAGGATCTGGAGAGAGTGGTGATTCAGAAGACCGATCTGTTGATATTATCACAGGTCTGCTTATGCAAGGTGCTGCAATCAATGCCCAGACTGACCGCACAGGTGAGACTAGGGAAAAGGAAGTAGAGGTGGATGTGTGTTCTTTTTATCATAAACAATGGCTTACCAGACATTCTGTGTAATAAGTGGTAATAGATTAAAAAAAAAAAAAAAAGTAGAGACCTGGTAAGTGATATATTCAATGGTTAGTGTGAATTTTAATAGCAATTTATATGTCTTTTCATTTCAGGAGAGACCTCATTACATTTAGCAGCTAGGTATGCAAGAGCAGATGCTGCCAAAGTACTACTAGATGCTGGTGCTGACCCTAATTCAGAAGATAGCACCGGGCGACGTCCACTTCATGCAGCAGTCGCTGCAGATGCTCAGGGGGTTTTCCAGGTTTGTGCTGCCATTCTTCTTCATTTTCAAAAAGAAAGACGGATAGAGACATCTGGAAAACAAATTCAAAAACAATTATTGTAACAAATTGAGGTTAGTAGAGTACAGGTTTATTTTTCTGTTGTAGATTTTATTACGTAACCGCTCAACCCACCTAAATGCTAAGATGAATGACGGTACTACACCCATGATCTTGGCAGTACGTCTTGCTACGGAAGGCATGGTAGAGGAACTTATAAATGCTGAGGCTGATATCAATGCTTCAGATGAGTATGGTAAGTATAGACACAAGTGATGGCTAGTCTTGATGGTAAGTTTCAGACACAAGTGATGGCTAGTCATGATCGTAAGTATACAGACACTAGTTACGGCTAGTCTTGATGGTAAGTATACAGACGCTAGTTACGGCTAGTCTTGATGGTAAGTATACAGACGCTAGTTACGGCTAGTCTTGATGGTAAGTATACAGACACTAGTGGAGGCTAGTCTTAATGGTAAGTATACAGACACTAGTGGAGGCTAGTCTTAATGGCAATTATCCAGACTCTACACTGATGGCCCCTGTTGATATCTATATCAGGTGCTTTTTGTATCACTGTAAGCATCACATGAAAAGCTTTGTTAATAATGATTTTTACTTGTAGAAATAAATACCTTTTATTTTTTACATTGGGTAGCAGATAAGCAGTTCCTTGTGTAGGTTTTGAGGCACATTTTTTCCTTCTTTGCTATATACTGTTTTATATGTTTGTAGGTAAGACTGCATTACACTGGGCTGCAGCAGTGAATAATGCTAATGCTGCACAAGTGTTACTACAACATGGTGCCAACCGGGATGCTCAGAACATGAAGGTATGACCCATGTAACTTATGGCAGTAGCTCATTTGTGACCAATTTTTGTGGAATCTATGTGTCACCTATAAAAGTCCTAGTTTATTATTCGCATGATCAATTATGAGACAAAGTGAATTGTTGCTTACAGACAGTTCTACACAATAACTATCACATAATTTAGCTCAAGTTTATAATTACTATTACAAACATCAACACAACAATAATCTTTCCATTTTGACATCAGAGTTTAATCCATCATTATTTCCCCTAAGGCGATTCAGCACTATCTCTTCAGCATTTATATATACATAATGTTTGTTTTTGTCAACAGGACGAGACTCCACTCTTCTTGGCAGCAAAGGAGGGAAGTTTTGAAACAGCCAAGATTCTTTTGGATCATTTCGCAAATCGTGATATCACCGATCATATGGACAGACTTCCGAAAGATATAGCTAGTGAGCGTCTGCATCAGGATATTCTTCAACTTCTTGATGAATACCCTGTGAACAGTCCCAATGTATCAATGCATGGTATGCCAACCTCACCAAATCATCTTCATTATATGCCACAGAAACAATCCAAACCAAAGTCACGGAAAAATAAAAATGGCAGTCCAGGCCATCCTATATCTCCAAATGGAGTTTCTAATGGACATTCAAAGAAAAGTCGACCCAAAAAGAAACCAGCAAAAAGTGCTAACAGTAATCGTGTGCCTCATAGTAGTGAGGTTTCACCAGTTGGAACGGTGTCCCCTGGTAACTCTATAGAGTCTCCTCAGGGGTATGAGCGGACACCACCATCCTATGACAGTATGTACGGTAAAGGGTACAACATTGCCCTGCCCCAGGGGGTAATGCCTGACCACATGTTAGGGAGTGGCCAGTATGAGCAAGCAATGGAACAATCAGATGTGTTGTGGCACCAGGGCCATATGCAGAACCCCCATGGGGGGCCCCTGCCCACACCACCTCACAATCCCCATGTGGGGCCCCTCCCGACGCCACCTCATAATCCTCATAATCCTCATTCACTGCCACAAGCCACATCCCCACATAGTATTCCCGTCTCCATTCCCACACCACCCAACAGCATGCAGTCCAATGGAAGCCCTGCTCATGACAAGATATCACCCATGAAGAAAAGTTTCCCAACATCTCCAACACACATACAGGCTATGCAGCAAAGAGCCCGACAGGAGCGTGCTCATGACAGCCCACTAAGCAGGCAAAATGAACAATTCTCATATCCAAATACAAATGTGGTGGAGAACATTCCAGTGACAGCACTTTATACAGACAATTATGGGCAGTCGTCTGGTCAGCATCACCAGCCCAAGTACCTAGACCAATATCCCACACCCCCCTCACAGCATAGCATGGAGTCCCCACCCCAAATCATCCATGGAGCACTCCCTGATCACTATCTAACTCCTTCACCTGACTCTCCAGGACAGTGGTCAAGTTCTTCACCGCACTCCATCTCCGACTGGTCAGAGGGAATCTCAAGCCCTGACCAGCCTCTACAGAACCGGAGCAACAAGCCGGTGTATATCTAAAATGCCATATGGTGTAGTGCTAGTGTCTCCTAATGGTTACCGCTGATGGTGTACTTACCTAGCCCTAACCAGTCACAACAGAACCGGAGCAACAAGCCAGTGCATATTTAAAATGTGTAGCCATATGGTGTAGTTCTGGTGTTTCCTAATGGTGAGGGAGTGACTGCTACTTATGACTGCCAAAAACATTTACTCTGACTAACAGTCTATACAGCAGTACTCAGCAATTATTAAAACAGTGGTCATTTTCTCCGTTACATTTCTGTGGGAGAAGATGTTGAGATGATTCACCTTAGGATGTGTACTACACAAACTGAAGGATAAGTAGTTGTGGTTTAGTGTACCTTCGGTGGAACTGGCAGCTGTACTGTTTTAAAACACTGTGTTATATTAGTACAGAAACATAGTGTGTTCATGATGAGTGTGCTAGCAGCCCACATCCTCAATACTGTGGATCCACTGCATTTAAATGTCTCTCTATACAAGGGAGTCGGAACACTTAAAATTCTGTGTCTACCCAACCCTTGGATTTTTATATGGGATGTAATCGGGAGTCACAGGAACTCAGAACCTGTCTTCCGACTGGGAGTCGCAGGACACTATGGGACCATTTATCATCATCATCATCATCATCATCATCATCATCATCATCATCATCATCATCATCATCATCATCGTCGTCATCGTCATCATCATCATCTACATTATCATCATCACAGTCCTCTATAGATTTGTGTAAAGGCAGCAGTGACTGTCAGACTAAGGTGTAATATATTGTTAACAGTTTAAATGTGTCAATGTATCACATTTTTTGGATTGCATGGTTTGGATCATCATTTCCACAACTCCACTGTAAACATTTTAGGGATTTTATTCAGTGATTTGTTGGGGACTATTTTTGGGAGGGAACAGATGAATTAGGAGAAATACAAAAAAAATTGAAAAGAAAAGCGTTTATTATAACACATTTGTATGATTATGTGGAATATTTGGAAATAATGAAATTGATGCTTTCACCCCTCCTGACCCTCCGGAATACAGTAACAAGTTAGTGGGGTCACCAGAAGGAGATATGTAATGCACAGGTAGTCTATAAATAGATTTGACAAGTGTATTCTGATGTCCAATCAGATTTCTGCACTCATTCCGCTATTGTAGGTAATATAGGTGAATATAGTCATGTGATCTCATTCAGAAATGTTACATCTATTGTATATAATTATTTTTGTAAGTTTTCTACAGTCATGTCAAGTCATACTGGTTTACAGCCAAGCATCGTCTCAGTATAGCTTATCATGTGAACAAATCTAGGGTGAACCAAAGACTCGTTAGAATGGTCCTAAACATTACTAGATTGTTATTGCCAAGACAATACTAGATTTTGTAGAACGCATCGGTGACTCTTTTTTTTTTTTTGGTTAATTTTTTTGTTAAGTTCTGTTTTAAGTTATGACAAATTTATATTTCTTAGACAAAGTAACGGAAATATACATATAGTTCAATGACAGTATAATACCAAATGCTATGCCCTTGTTAATTTGAAACAGATTGTAAAGAAGTGCATCATATATAGTGTCAAAGTGCTAATCAGTAAGACTACGGATATTCAAGGGCAGACAATCCTGTACAGGGGGTCCTTAGTAATTGATGAGATCACCTTCGGGAGAGGTTTTCTGTATAATGAGATCACTTGGGACAGAAGGTTACTAGGTGGTGAGATCAATGAGTTTCTAGCTGACCACAGAAGCTTTAAAAGACACCATACAGAATCTAGGACTAACTTTTCTATAGCAGAGATGAACAAACTTTCATTATTTTATTTCCACTGTCTCAGAACAATGGGAACACAAATTTACCATAGATAAATCTGCATACAAGATGTGAGGCTTACACTATGTATATTATGGTGCTATTTTTTCACAGCCCATGTCCCAGACTCCAAAGTTTTCCTCAAAAACATCGAAATAGTGAACAATGTAACTCATTTTACAGAAATCTGTTGATAAACAAAATGTTGAACAAAACCAACATTTACCACGGTTTTTTTTCACTTCTTCATTAATAAGTGGTAATCATACCAGAATGAGTGTTGGAGATTTTAACTTTTGTAATCTGGTATGCTTTTGACTACACTTTGATCAAAAATAACTACCTATTCCAGTTACCATGCTGTTCTAAAACTATATGTTGTCAACTAATTCCAAAGGTCAGATTGGTGCATTTTATATTATGTGCTTTTTAAAGTAGATTTTTTAGCAATGAAATATCAAACATTTCTTAGATGTTCCTTCCGTGACCAAGACACTTGAAGGCTGTGACTTCTAAAGGCCATTTTGTTAGCAGCTTTCACATCAGTGTAAACCTGTACTCCCATCTTTCTTAATACCACCAAAACACATTTTTATAAGTATTTTTTTATCGTAAACTGAATGACATTGATATTGTATTTTAATAAAATTCTGCAAGTTATTTTAAAATGCTTTTTATAAGTTGAAGCCCACCGTTATTTTGATATGGTTTATTACTATGACCAATGCATACTGAGTGGGAGAGTGAATGGGCATTGAGAACGTGCTTTTTATCCCGTGACGTCATAGCAAATTTTAAATGAAATGTTTTTTTTTTATATATTTTTCACTAGCATGAAATATGTACTATGATGAAATGATGAATTTCTCAAAACAAATAAGAGATTTTTATGAAATAGTAATTGTTACAATTATTGACCTGTAGTTTATGTGTGCGAATATGTACTGCACAGTCCTATGTTGATAGTGTTTAGCAATGTGCCATGAACAAAGCATATTAAACAAATGTATGCCATGTGTAACTCCTGGTACCTGACAGTTCTGTCTGTCTTAACTCAGTTTGTAAGTTCTTTGTAATAATTTTTTAATTTATACAAATACATTGAAACAGTAGAGAGATAAAATCTGTAGTTAATAAACTCTGTTTCATAGAAATATTACACTCATTTTAAAGTTTAATTCTTTACAAAAGTAGTAAGGACAAAATTTCCCATCCTTGGTAATTTTAGGATTCAACTTACAATGCAAGAAATTGTTGATAGTTTTCTGTAATTGTGATAAACAAATTTGAAGTAAAATTGGAGATGTGTTAAAGTGAGAATAATTTTTAATCCTTTCCTTAATTGTGATGAAAAGTTATTGAACAAGATTTTTAACTGAACTTTTTTGATAATGAAGCACATTAATTTTTTTTTTTCTCATTTAGAGCTTCGCAAATTGTATGCAGAAGTTGTATACGTCCTTGCCAAACAGACTGTTGTCATGGTGAGGGTTAATAGTGCTTTGTGGTGCAAGTGTGTACACCCTGGTTGTACCCAGAAGGCACATCATGGATGGGAGGAAGTGGCAGAGTTCTCTGTCTGTTATATAAAGTTTGTTTTTATTGTTATTATCAGTTAAATCTTGTTGAGAGTTTTATTACAAAAATCTTACTCTGTAGGACATAACAAATTGTCTCATGATACCACAGCTCTACGTAAACACACCATCTTCAAATTACTTCTTGTTTTAGTATTATATATGGCAGTCATTCATTTTTTTTTCCCCCCATTTTCATTTTTCTGAATAATTTTTCAACTTAAGATATGAAACTTCATACAACAAATGGCCAGTTAATATGTTTCTTGATCATCAAAGAATTATTCAGGGAAAATATTTCAAACAAAATTAGGAATAAACATTTATAGTAACACATTGCTTAAAGATGTAATTCAAAACTGAATATTTTTTATATTGTTGTCCGACATCATTATCCAAAGATTTTTATTTCCTTTGAAAAAATATACAAGTATACATTTGAAAGAGATCTGTGGTGTGATGGGATACCTGAAGCAGTGTCTGAGCTTAGGTATGGAGCTACACCCGTTTTTTCTTGCAATTTTTGGAAGCAATGTAGAGCTGTACCAAAATGTTCTCCCAATGTAGGGCACGAGAGATGTTTTGTAGGTGATATTTTGTACAGTGATAAGTTATTATCCTATGTTTGAAGCTACAGCAGTATGTCACTTCTATAGCTTGCCATGGTAACCATGTTGTTGTGGCAACCATTGTATATTACATTTATAGACATCACAATTTCTTTAAGAAAACAAAAAATAAAGAAATTTATGTAGATATTGTCTTCTGTTGTTTCTTTGTTAACTTTACAAGAAGTATTTTAAGGGTATTTATATGAGGATGGCTTCTATTTTCATAACTATAATGAAATGAGGATAGTCCTCAAATACAAGGAAACCTATATTTGACCTGTATCACAACTATAATGAAATGAGGATAGTCCTCAAATACAAGGAAACCTTTATTTAACCAAATCTTTACTTTGACAAATCAATTTTCCTAGTGCTCTTCATCATAGGTCATGAGTCAGTTACTACCCTGGACTGACTGTTAAGTGCCATAACTACCAAAGACTGACTACTAGGTGAATTAACTACTCTGGACCATCTACTAAGTGAAGTAACTACAGTGAACAGATTGCTTGGTGTATTAACTACCCTGGATTGACTACCTGGTTAAGGAACTACCCTGGATTGCCTACTTGGTTCAGTAACTACCCTGGATTGACTACTTGGTGTAGGAACTACCCTGGATTGACTACTTGGTGTAGGAACTACCCTGGATTGACTACTTGGTGTAGTAACTACCCTGGATTGACTACTTGGTGTAGTAACTACCACTTGGTGTAGTAACTACCTTGGATTGACAACTTGGTGCAGGAACTACCCTGGATTGACTACTTGGTTCAGTAACTACCCTGGATTGACTACTTGGTGTAGTAACTACCCTGGATTGACTACTTGGTGCAGGAACTACCCTGGATTGACTACTTGGTGTAGGAACTACCCTGGATTGACTACTTGGTGCAGGAACTACCCTGGATTGACTACTTGGTGTAGGAACTACCCTGGATTGACTACTTGGTGCAGGAACTACCCTGGATTGACTACTTGGTGTAGGAACTACCCTGGATTGACTACTTGGTGTAGGAACTACCCTGGATTGACTACTTGGTGCAGGAACTACCCTGGATTGACTACTTGGTGCAGGAACTACCCTGGATTGACTACTTGGTTCAGGAACTACCCTGGATTGACTACTTGGTGCAGGAACTACCCTGGATTGACTACTTGGTGCAGGAACTACCCTGGATTGACTACTTGGTGCAGGAACTACCCTGGATTGACTACTTGGTGCAGGAACTACCCTGGATTGACTACTTGGTGTAGGAACTACCCTGGATTGACTACTTGGTGTAGGAACTACCCTGGATTGCCTACTTGGTGTAGTAACTACCCTGGATTGCCTACTTGGTGTAGTAACTACCTTGGATTGACAACTTGGTGCAGGAACTACCCTGGATTGACTACTTGGTGCAGGAACTACCCTGGATTGACTACTTGGTGCAGGAACTACCCTGGATTGACTACTTGGTGCAGGAACTACCCTGGATTGACTACTTGGTTCAGGAACTACCCTGGATTGACTACTTGGTGCAGGAACTACCCTGGATTGACTACTTGGTGCAGGAACTACCCTGGATTGACTACTTGGTGTAGGAACTACCCTGGATTGACTACTTGGTGTAGGAACTACCCTGGATTGACTACTTGGTGCAGGAACTACCCTGGATTGACTACTTGGTTCAGGAACTACCCTGGATTGACTACTTGGTGAAGGAACTACCCTGGATTGACAAGGTGCAGGAACTACCCTGGATTGACTACTTGGTGAACTACCCTGGATTGACTACTTGGTGTAGGAACTACCCTGGATTGACTACTTGGTGCAGGAACTACCCTGGATTGACTACTTGATACATTAACTACCCAGGACCGTCTACTAGGTGCTGCAAATACCCTTGACCGTCTTATTATGTGCAGTAATAACCCTATACTGTCCACTAGGTGCAGTAACAACCCTGGACTTTCTACCAGGTGCAGTAATGACCCTGGACTCTCTACTAAGTGCAGAGACAACCATGGACTTCCTGCTATATGCAGCAACTACCTTTGACTGACTACTTTGTACAGTAACTACCCTGAACTGTCTTCTAGGTTAAGTAACTATCCTGGACCGTCTACTAAACAGAGTACCTACCATGGACTGTCTACTTGGTGCAGTAACTATCATGGACTGACTGCTAGGTGCAGTAACTACCCTGAACAGTCTGCTATGTGCTGTAACTTCCCTAGGGTCCATAATGTGTAGGAACTACCTTGGACTGACTGACAGTTGCGATAACTACAATGAACTGGCTGCCAGCTATAGTTACTACCCTTGGCAGTCTACTAGTTGCAGTTAAGGTCCCTGGGCAGTCCACTAAGTGCAGGAACTACCCTTGACAGTCTACTAGTTGCAGTAACTACCCTGGGCAGTCTACTACGTGCAGTAACGACCCTGGGCAGTCTACTAGGTGCAGGAACTACTCTGGACTGACTGCAAGGTGCAGTAACTACCATGAACTGACTACTAGGTGCCATATGTACCCTGGGCCGTCAACTTGTTACAAAAGTTTGAATGCAATTAAAGTGTATATACAATATTCAATACCTGTAATCATAATATCTATCTTTTTTTATTTTATGAGTATCAGTGATATCACTTTTCTCATTTTACCGACCCATATTTTCCTGTTTGTGTGTCTGAAAAACGGAAAGGATTGCTGTGAAAATTTGACAACCTTTTTAATTAACACTTGGAACAACTTTTTTTCTCTCCTGTATGAATATAGATCTGAATACATGTAAGCAATGTTTGTAAGAAAAAGTACCATATTGCTACACATACTAAACCTACTGATGTTGCTGAGGTAAAAGGCAGGAGGGTAGATAACTCTTATGAAATGGACGTTTAAGAATATCGGATATTATTTGGTTCATAAAATATCAATTGTGTATCATCCTATAACAGTCTCCCCACAGGGAAAATAAGAACAGACCACAATTACAGCAATAATAACAATTTAAAATGTTTTATAACATGGCAGCTCAACACGTCACCAAACTGCAGTGTTGTGGAGTGAACCACAATGCACTCCGACACTGTCACATAAACAGGTGAACAGATAGGTTTTAGGAAGTATTTGTGAAACCTGTTGCTTTAGTGAGTTTTTTCCTAGACCATTTAACAAAAACTAATGCAACCACTGGAACAGTTTTAATCTTGGTTTACTTTACTTCAAAATGTTTTTTCTTTCCTATTCAGATTGTAACATTGACAAAAAAATCTAGATATTAGTCCAACAAAAAGTCTCTACAGATGATCAATGATAGAGATGTTTAATATTAAAACCAATTGGTAACCCTTCTTTGTCAATATACAGTGGACCCTCAATGGTCTGGTTACTTTTGTCCCTACTAAAGATTGTCTGGAAATCTTGTGTTTAGAAAAAATATTTCCAAGTTATGCAAACCCGTCAATCTAACCAGAGTTATCTCCCTTGATTGTATAACAGCAGCCATCAGCTTGATAACGTCGATTGTTCTCAAAACATCTGCATATTTTAACTGTAAATATAAATATTGATAAATGTCTTTCATTGACTAATCATGTTTTCCTTTTCATTAATAACTGTACATCATTTAAATTGCTGGAGTGTAAGTTGTTATTCATTGTAGTTTAATATTTATTAAATGTTTGTTTTATTAAAATGTTATGTCATACTTTCATATTTTCACAAAATATTTATTTATGTGTATAATGACACAATCAAATCTTAAGCTTATTTCTCAATGAATAATTGCCAATATACTTGTCATCTGGGACTTATCTATTTTTAGAATCAAGTGAATCAGTTTAAACGACCATGTAAAAATTTAGTAGACATTTAATACATGATGAGCTCATAGGTAAGACTGAAAAAGCAATAAAATACTATATGTTATAAACGATTTCACTGTATATGCATCACTGACAACATGGAAATCAATGCCATGTTTTTCTATGTTAAATAGTGTTGAAAGATGATAGGTCCATTATATATAGTTCCAATTACACTATATGTTACATTTTTTTTCTTTATTTTACTCAAGACCAATTTATGTGTACATCCTGGTTACTACCATACTAAGTACAGAACGACACAAATTATATAAATGTGTTTGATATTTTCTTGATAATTTATTTTTGTTGTTATAGATAGACATTTAACTCTACAGCTGAACAGTTGCAGCAGAAATGTTGGAATGGTGGCTAAACCCACATTGTGTCTAGCGTTATGCTGTACACCTCTGGCATAGGTGACCAAACCCAACAAATTTTCTTAATGAAGTAAAAAAGTCCATTCCATTCCAAAAGAAATATTTCCATATCTGAAATTCCAATTTCAAACCCGGTGAGTACAATCAATGTTACAGAAATCCATCCCCCAATATTTTCGTTATGGTGAAATCCCCGAACTATCTGGATTATCAAGAGTCCACTGTACTCACTATACTACTGTAAAACCGAATCATAATACATTACAGCTACACAGGGTAAAGTCAATGTTGAGTGTTTATTTGTAAATCTCCAATAACTTCTGTACTAACAATGTCTTCCAAACAACAACAGATGTACAAAATAGGCAGCGACTGATCCGAGTATACACAGATGTTGTATCACATTTCAAAACTTACAACATATAACTCCTACATAAACAGTCTACAGACATAAATTAATGAAACACTGTAACAGATGATAGCTTGATTGAACACAAGTTGATATAAGTCTAGTTTTAAGACATTAAATATCTTTGAGTTGACTTTACATTGAGTCACAATAACAGTATAGCTTGTAGTAAATTGCCATAGTCTGAGATAAAAATTTACCACATTCATGTCCATATGTAGAATAAGACAAAATTTACAACCAAATTAGACAGGAAATTGCAAAATGTGGCCAGATCAGAGAGCAGAAGATGTGGTCCCCTTGATCACAAGGATATTCCTACTTCAGCAACAAAATAAGGTCCCTCTGGTAACCGTGATATTCCTACTCCCAAGACTAGAGGATGAGATCCCCATGTTAAATTGTATCCGTTCTCTGACGACTTGAGAATGAAATTCCCTTGGCAACTGATATTCCTGCTCCAAAATACAGAAAATAAGAGGGACATCCATATCCTATTTCTGTGAGAAAATTTGTCATCCATTTTCAGTGACAACCGAGTGCATGTCTTCCTAATTCAAGATCCTTTTCCCTTCAAAATGTTCCTGAGACACTTCAATCTTTCCTATTTGGCTAGCACCTGGAATAACAACAGACAAATGATAAAACTTGCCTTTGTATAACACTGACTTATTAGAGCTGATAGTGCTTAATGGTTTTAAAAAATGGTCCACCTGAGATTTTAAAATGTAGTGAATGAAGTGAATGGTTATTGAATATATCAACATGTCACTTACCTTTAAAAAGTGTTGCTCATTACTTAGCTCACTACTTTGCTTTTTCTTCTTTTTTCTTTGCTGCTTTTTCTTTTGCCTTTCATTTCAAAATATGCAAAATCATATTACACCAACAGTTGTACAAAAGTCACATCTTTCTTCTCTTTTTAGAAAGCTTCAACTTCACAAACAAGAAATGTTATTGTTTAGCCAATTATATTTATTAGAAAAGAAAAGTTGCAATAAGTTAGACCATTAAACATTAAAGATAACTGATGACACATATTTATCATTATAGAAATTTAGTTTGTACTAAAGATCAAGGGAGATAGATAACAAACATTAATGGCTTGGAACAAAAATGAAGCAAGATTATTTCAAAACACCTTTAATGACCACTTATATTTTTAATAAAGTGCAAGAAGTGTTTTTGCCCTTAATGTTTCTGTTCTGCTACCTTCTCCACTATGGGCACTAGCTGTACTTTGCTAACATCTACTACCCCACAATAAACACTTACCTTCTCGACTAGGGGCACTAGCTGTTTTTGTTCTGCTAATATCTTTAAAAGTTCCATGATGAATGGGAGGTAATTGTGCTTCCTTCTGATGTTCTCTACCTGTTATAATAACAAATAAATTCAATGTTAACTGCTGATTCTACTTAAGTTTGAAGATCTAACATTTAGAACATGATATTTGATATGATATTTAATATGAATGCCTCCATTTCCATGCAAATTAGTATCATTGTTTGAATAATTCTATAAATAGCAAGTGGCCTTCACATCAGAACTTTGAAGCAAAAGATCATTGAAGATATTCAGTGTAACCTTGAAACTCTGACAGAAGAGTTCATTGGAAGTTTTCTGACAGTGTAACAGTCATTATGACATAGATCTTCAGAATGCTTAAAACATATGACATAAACTTCAGATATACCCTCTATGATGACCTGAAACACAAACTAATTCATGGATTTCGCAAAATGTTTAGTCAAATTCCTTTAAGAAGTTAAATGAAAAATTTAATGAATTTACTGATAAGATATTTATAAGCTGCTGAAAATATAAAACTTTTTCACCCACCAACAGCAGATTACCTTGTAGTTTCCCTCCTTTTCCCTAATACAGTAAAGATCTTTGTACCACTGTCTCTCTCCAATAATGAAGTACCTTGTACCTCTGTTTCCATCTCTTTCCCTCATACAATAAGGAGGCCTTGAACCAGTCTCCTTCCTACCTACAGTACAGTACCTTGTACCTGTCTCCCTCCTACCTACAGTACAGTACCTTGTACCTGTCTCCCTCCTACCTACAGTACAGTACCTTGTACCTGTCTCCCTCCTACCTACAGTACAGTACCTTGTACCTGCCTCCCTCCTACCTACAGTACAGTACCTGGTACCTATGTGTCTCTCCTACCTACAGTACAGTACCTTGTACCTGCCTCCCTCCTACCTACAGTTCAGTACCTGGTACCTATGTGTCTCTCCTACCTACAGTTCAGTACCTGGTACCTATGTGTCTCTCCTACCTACAGTTCAGTACCTGGTACCTATGTGTCCCTCCTACCTACAGTACAGTACCTTGTACCTGTCTCCCTCCTACCTACAGTTCAGTACCTGGTACCTATGTGTCCCTCCTACCTACAGTACAGTACCTTGTACCTGTCTCCCTCCTACCTACAGTTCAGTACCTGGTACCTATGTGTCCCTCCTACCTACAGTACAGTACCTTGTACCTGTCTCCCTCCTACCTACAGTTCAGTACCTGGTACCTATGTGTCTCTCCTACCTACAGTTCAGTACCTGGTACCTATGTGTCTCTCCTACCTACAGTACAGTACCTTGTACCTGCCTCCCTCCTACCTACAGTACAGTACCTGGTACCTATGTGTCTCTCCTACCTACAGTACAGTACCTTGTACCTGCCTCCCTCCTACCTACAGTTCAGTACCTGGTACCTATGTGTCTCTCCTACCTACAGTTCAGTACCTGGTACCTATGTGTCTCTCCTACCTACAGTTCAGTACCTGGTACCTATGTGTCCCTCCTACCTACAGTACAGTACCTTGTACCTGCCTCCCTCCTACCTACAGTACAGTACCTGGTACCTATGTGTCTCTCCTACCTACAGTACAGTACCTTGTACCTGCCTCCCTCCTACCTACAGTTCAGTACCTGGTACCTATGTGTCTCTCCTACCTACAGTTCAGTACCTGGTACCTATGTGTCTCTCCTACCTACAGTACAGTACCTTGTACCTGCCTCCCTCCTACCTACAGTACAGTACCTGGTACCTATGTGTCTCTCCTACCTACAGTACAGTACCTTGTACCTGCCTCCCTCCTACCTACAGTTCAGTACCTGGTACCTATGTGTCTCTCCTACCTACAGTTCAGTACCTGGTACCTATGTGTCTCTCCTACCTACAGTTCAGTACCTGGTACCTATGTGTCCCTCCTACCTACAGTACAGTACCTTGTACCTGCCTCCCTCCTACCTACAGTACAGTACCTGGTACCTACCTATGTGTACCTACCTGCCTCCCTCCTACCTACAGTTCAGTACCTGGTACCTATGTGTCTCTCCTACCTACAGTTCAGTACCTGGTACCTATGTGTCTCTCCTACCTACAGTACAGTACCTTGTACCTCTGTGTCTTCCTCTCTTCCTCTTGTATCAGATCCTGCAGATTTGTCAGCTCTGTAGGAATGTTGTCTGTTTCCATGGCATCATCCTTAAAACAAGTCATACAAACTTGTCATCAATTAAAAAATGAACCATTTGTCTTCAGCGATAAGATAAAGTGTTTATAAGATTTCATCACTGATAATGTAGACTGGAACACTTTTCATTACTATTGCTACCTGTCTGTGTTTCAGTATGTAAGAAAAGAAAAACATAACTGATAAAATGTAAAATGATAGAAATACCTGTAACCGTGCTGTCAGTTCAGCAACCCGTCTTTCATACACATTTTTTCTGTCTGATACTATAGCCATCAGATTGAAGTGAATCTCATCTGTGCTGTACCTAAAATGACACTTTCATCATGAGAGTCCGCCTGTTGACTTTATGTCACAATATATAACAAAAAACAAAAATGAACAAAAACGGAACAACGAAAATGCGATGTTTTTATTCTGTTTTGCACAGTTTCATTATCCTTCTTAAAAAAGTTTAAGTTATGCTTGGGACGTTGAACTTTAAGAAAGGATAATAATTCAGTAATTAAAGTTTTGCTGATTTTGGATTTGGTACACTGCACTACATCTTAGAATTACCGATGTACACACCAAGTTTCATTATCCTTGCTTAATTGTTGGAAAAGTTATGCTCTGAGCACAAAAGGACAGACAGATGGATGGACAGACTGACAAAGTGGCACCAGATGATGTTCCCTTGAAAATTTTCAGGGATAGATATTCTTCATGTCAACATTGACATGCTTGTTAACAGGCCAAAGGACTTTGAAAGGAGGACACAAACGGATGTAGTAAAACTTACTTTTGCATCCTTTTCTCTAGGACCGGTCTGACCAGTGTGAGCCAATCAGTCTCTCCGGGTATTGCACCTGAAAAACAAGTCTGTAGTCAGAATACACATAAAAATAGAAAATGTCTCTAAGATATAAATGCATTTGCCCTCAAGTGAAATTAGTTAATGGGGGTGGGAAGGAGAGGGGAGGTGTTTCATGAAGGAAAATTAAAACAGTGAAGTACTTAAATTGAATCAGTTGATGATTTTCTATATATAGCAAAGGTGGCCTTGGCCTTGGCTTTGGGCCCCTGAAACAAAACAAAGTCCAAAGTATACTTATAATTGGCTTTTGTATAATGGTGACCAAAACTAACAGTTTCGGTGTAGTTCATTCTCTGATTAACCAGGCTACTAGGTATTAATCTTGAATTGGAAAGAAATACCATTAGCATATTTAAGTGTTTATCAAGTAAACAATGAACCAATAGTGTAAACTATTAAGTCATTAGGTACAAATAAAAGGTATTATAGAAATGGGTAGAAACTAGTCATGACTAGAACATTATCTAATAACATTACTCAAAGCCATGATTATGTCCAGTAGAGTGACTAAACATGGTTCTCACTTACCTAAATCTACTGGGCCATCCTTAAGGCCATCCAATTCATAAAGACGGCCATCAATGGGGAGGTAACCCACAAAGTGGTATACATCGTCATCCTTCTTTGCCATCTTCTCATCAAACTCAAACATCTGTTGTCTTTACAAAGATACAAGATAAAAGATATCTTAGGATTATACACTAACAATGAAATTATCTCAAAATAAAAACTCAATATCAATTTAAATTCATCAAATCAATGTAGTATATGACAGATAACATGTCGCAGACTAAGTATCTGTGTTACCACAGACATAAATTAATTGAAACCCAAGTTCATATTTCAAAGGAAAACAAAACAAAGCACATTTACAATCATTTACACAATTGTAACATATAGTATATCAGATTATTTTCATAGGATGCAATTTTTTGTAAAAACCTTGAAAGAGAATCATTTGCATTGTTTACTAATTCTATCTTTGTAATTTCATGGTTTTAGAAAACTGACCATACATAAACATTGCTTGATTTCTCTAACAATCTCATTCCACATCAAAACGACTATGCCACAACGCATTAATAATTAGATAATCTAATGAAAAAGTAATTAATCAATTACAATGGAAAGGAATTAACAAAATGAATGTGAAACAGTTTTTTGTCTAGGGAAACTCTGTGGACTTATTTCATTTTGGGAAATCTTGTGGACTTGCTTTACCTCGGAAAATTTGTAGACATGTGTGGGCTTTTATCTAAGGAAACTCTTGCCAACTTGTTATACATTAGATAATGCTTGTGGACATGTCTTACAGTTGGAAACTTTTGTGGGTTGGTTTTACTTTGAGAAACTACTTTGGATTTGTTTTACATTGAGAAACTCTTCTTCAAGGGAGACTCGTAACAACCTGCTTCATCTCTAGAAACTATTAAAGATTTTTATGTTCTACTGTATGTTACAACACCGAATTACCTTACCTAGAGAAACTGTTGTGGACCTGTTTGATGATGTCTGAATTACTCAGTGTTAATCCTCGTAACTGAAAACAAGAAGCTTGTGTTTATTCTATTTGTAACATGCAGTTGGAACTGAGAACATGACTGTCATGTATTGAATATAATGCAACACTCTCATAAATGGACAAGAGTTGTCCTATCACAACCTAGATATCGTAATTGTTGCTTGGTATTACAGCCAAAAAAGTTAGGAGGACCAAATCAATAACCATTATTGTCACAAGCAAATAAACCAAAATCTCTGTTCATTCCTATACCTTGAATAATTAAAAGCAGTAAACTACATAACTTAAGTAAATGTTTACATGACATTTATTCTAAGTGGACACAGAACTCCAAACAGAAAATATGCTTTTTCTCTTCAAAGAGGCATTTGAAAATAAAATACGTAAATGTATACCCAAAGTCAATGGAAAATCTATTACACAAATAAACTTTATGGCTTTTGCTTAAGTCTATGTACATGGCTAGATGCTAACTTACTGCTGGCTCAAATCCTTGAACAAATTCCTTGAATGACTGAAGTGTGTCTCCGATACTGACATCTTTATGGTCACAATTGAGGAGTATACTAAGGATAGCCTGTGTCGCACATGCATTGTTAATAACCTGTAATAAACAAAACATAAAATAAGTATCATTAGGGGTCCGTATATGTCACAAAATATAAAATCAGAGTCGTAAGACATTATATAATTTAAGATTCCACTATAAATTACAAACAGTCTTACTGGTCACATTGGTCAGTATCTGTAAAATTCAATCTTATCATCTCTATCATTACCCTCACAAATTTGTTTGGCTATACTAAAATTTGAATCCAACATCATTGATACATATCTTGTGTGTCTTTAGTAGGTTAATAGATAAACTTACAATGTAGATAAACTTACAATGTGTTACCCAAACAGACTGATCATTTAGTGCACATCCAAATACATACCTGTTTAGCAAAGAATATTTTTTCCAGTCGGCTATCCTGAACAATAGAATCCTGTGGTTCTGATTCTGGCTGCCATTTGAACAAGAATATCAAACCATGTACGGGTCTGGAAATGAACATGAAAATGTTATACATCTCAAAACTGTTGACGTTATTTATTTACTTTGAATTTGAGTAAGTGTTGAGTTACCAAACCAAATGATGACTTCACTAAATAGTGTATATTCCAAAACTTATCTCAACTGTGTGAGAGAGAATTTCACCAGTATACCTATCTCTGAGATGCTTCATAAATGATCATCTATCAAATTTTGAAATACCTCCTACATAAGAAATTTTCTTGTGTTTTCTATGGTACCTAATCAAAGATCTACGTACAAATGATCTCTAGGACTTTCTGCAATACCTCATGAATTATTTATATGAAAATGTTGTCTATGACATTTTGTGATGCCACAACAATTATCTACATCTTTATGTTGTCTTCTGAGTTTCTTTGATTGTTCTGCATGGAAAAATAATGACCTACTACATCTATCTTTTTAACACTTATGTTCTTTTTTCCAACCTCCTGCAAGCTTGAAAGTTCGGATAAGTGCATTTAGCTGTTGGACAAGTGGTTTTCAAATTCACTTGTCCATTTGGATAAGTGAGAAAAATTGATAGAGTCCTGTAATATATTCATCAAAGAATTTTTTCAACTTCCAGGCACTTTCATTGGTTATAATACCCACTTGAGTTTTTCAAAACTGTCTGGATCCATACTCCATATTTCTTCCACCTGAACACCTGTGCACCCTATCGATAAACAACAGAATTCATAATCAATACACACATTGCACATGTTACAGTACAGCAGCATTCTGACTTGAGAATACTGATCTATCAAGATGGAAAGTAAAATACATTATTGTATGATGAAGTGGACTGTGGATTTTAAAATGCCTATTCTTAAATCAAATATACCCATCTAGATTTATCTTTGAGTTTGAAAGGTACAAGAAGCAGTACTGATGACTGTGTCAGCACCTCATATTTAGAGATCAGTGGATTGGGGAAAGAGTTTTGTCTCGCATCAATAATGATATGCATGAAACATAAGGTTTCAATCACAATATGACCAAATAGTGTAAATGATTAACTGATTTTGATTGCTGCATGGACTTCAACCTAAGTCACTGTCATAATGGCATACACTTTGGTATAATGAGGGAAAAGTTTTATTTTCAAGACATGATTTTTTTCAAGAGAGGTAAAATTAATATTTTCATCTACATATTAAATAAATAATAATAATAATTACCTTTATTTATCGTCATGTACAGGTTAACAACAAACATAAGCTCTGTAAAGCTTTTATTATGACGTCGCTGAGGGAACAAATGTTGTTTCAACGGTGCAGGAAAACCCACGGGGGAAAACCACCGTGTCATCAGAGGGATAACAACTAACCCTATCAGACATCACTGTCTTTTTCCATCACCGCTGGGGATCAAACCGGAATTCTTGGGAGAATGAGTGGTCTGAAGCTCTGTGCGCATTAGCGATCACGGCTACCGAGTTGGTATGTTATTGTTTCATTTAACAAAATACTACAATTAACTTTCATCATAGTTCAACTTTCTTTTTAATGTAACTATGCATGTAGATTGTGTCAACAGAAACGCTTACTATTATCTTGGCATTATTAAAGGGGCATGCCTATTTTTTCATATACAATGAATATAAATGAAGTAACCATACAAATATTTATGGTAATAACTTGGTGTGTGTACATGCTTATCTTTGAAGTCTGTCTGATGCGAAATGTCATGCAATGTAGCTCCGCCTTCAATTCAGTTTGAAATGAGACATGGCTCTGCCCTGGAATATTTGCATATTAGCTTATGCTTTTGTAATTGACAATGTCCTGGACTCATTTATATCGAATGTTTGACAATGTCCCTCGTCCGTCAGATATAAATGAGTCCTAGTTGCAAGGAGGAATCCCAGAGAGGACTTAAAGTTGGATTTGTCAATTAAGATATGAAATTATTTCCAAAGAATAGATTTTTGTCCGTTTACGGCTTTGGTACTCATAAGACTATTTCAAATGCTAAGTATGCGCTTATATCAAGACAAATAACATTTATAAGTTAACGTCGAAAAAAATGTGTCGCACTGTTCCGAAGATGTCAACTGCTTTAGATCAAGATGTTTATTTTGTCGCCAGAGTTTTGATACACTCGCAGCATAATTCCCATAAAAATCAAATATAAATCGCATCTATAGTTTCATCTTACCAAATCCTTTGATAAGTTCCGTGAATACACCAGGATCGCTTTCAATCAAACACCAATCTCCTGCACTCGTCGCCATTTTTGCAATTTATACCGGAAGTCGCACATGGACAACCAAAGCAGGCAAAAGTAAGGGATATGTTCTATTGAAGTTTTTTCTTTTTACTTGAATTTGATATTTTTGATCCTACAAAGCCTTAAATGATATTATTTTGTACATGTTAAACAAACATTACTATTACATTTGAAATATATCAAATTTCATTGCGCTCTCATAATTATCGACTATTTTCCCTTACAGGAAGTTTTGGATGATAACTAATAGAGAAAATAGGAAAAAGAATGACGGACTCCGACGGCCAGTCCCAGAGCCCGAATAATGTTTACCCAACTGTTGCGATGGTTTGTAATCAGTGAAATTTAGATATCTAGCTACGAATCCCAGTCATATTAACCTTTCCATGGTAGTCACCAAGCACACGCAAAATAATTTGATCACTGGTGTTTTACACAAGCCTGTCTCACTACAGTGCACTGATCAGGCCACTGGTAACTACCCATGATCAAATGACTACAGGAAGTCACAAAGCTCAGTCACTAATCACACTGCCGGTCGTGACCCACCCCACTCTGATTAATTTAGCACTGGTATTTACCCAGCCCAGTCACACCTACCTGGATGCCTCAGGCTGCTGATAGTCACCCAGCCCATACACAAGCCAGTCACACAAACCAGACCACTGGTAGTTACCCAGAGCAGTCACATTAATGTGTCCACTAGTATTCAGGGACTCTAACCTGACTACATAGGTAGTCATGCAGACCTGTCACACTTCAGTTTACTCAACTGAGATCAAGTTCTTTCACAAATGGGCAAAACTTATGCAATACTGATTGAATTGGTTTTGTTGTTGTTTTTTTTCACAGAGTAGGTTACTAACATAATTCATTGTCAGTTTTGTGGTGTTTGACCTCCAAAATTAAAAAGTCCAAACTGAACTGGCTACAGTAAGATATTGCTGTGTTTGTTGCAGTGTCTCCAATAGTCCAAATCATTCCGATATTCTATGCATTTTTTTTTTTGTATTCATCTGGAGTAGACTCAAAGTCGATACATCAAAGTGGATACAATGTCAGAATATTTAAAACTGCCTTTCCTATAGAGAAAACTAATATGCCTGTTAAGACCATGTTAAGTCATTTTCATCTGGTCTTTTAAGTTTCAGTAACATATTTAGGTAAAAATAATGTTCATTGTTGACTTATAACCATATGTTTAGCTACTAGTATACTAAAGATTGAAATATTTCTAAATTTTAACTTTTTTTTTTTCAGTATGGCCCATGTACTGTAAGGAACCTGAAGAAAGGGGAGACCAAATTATGGTGTGCTTGTGGTCTAAGTAAGAAACAGCCCTGGTGTGATGGTAGGTACATTTTCTGTGGACAGTGAATGAATGAATGGCTACCCATATACATATAGTCCTAATTTGAAATGCTATAAAATTTTGATCAAATTCTTTTTTAATTTTTTACTAACTTGAAACAATTTCTGAAATTGATATTTTAAATTTTTAATCTAGTATGTAGGAAAAAAAACATGTCATTCAATGCTGATGAAATGTTTTGTTAACTTTTTGTTAGTCCTGTTTAGCTAACAGTGGGTCATTTGAATCACTCTCACTAACTGGAACTTTCAGTTGAAGTTTAAAACTTGGATAACACTTAAATGGGACATTATTTCAATGTTTGTTATAACAAGCTTTGAAACATTTCAATGCCAGGGCTTGGACAACCTGTTCTAGGAGTTTGTTCCATTTTTGACAACATGTCTACAAAATTGTATTCTGTGTGGTTCTGTGCCTACTTTTTCTCCTTTACATCTTGCCATCTAGTTCTTCTGTTATCCTTTTCAGTAAATAGAAGCTTTTCAGTAAATATAAGTTTTTTGTCTGCTTTGTTCAAATTGTTCAGAATGGTCTCCACCATGTTGTTTCCGAGTTGTCTGGATTCCTGTGCAGGGAGTCCATCTTGTCTTCCTAGGTATGACAGGTCCTTTAATGTTACTACGCTTTTAGTAGCTCTTCGCTTTACATTTTCGCTTCAGACCAAACATGGGTTGCATGTTCTAAAGGAGGTCTTAGTAAACTTTTGTATTTATAAGATTGGAAACATGTCTTTATCCATAAAGAGGAATGTCTGAATAATACTTTATAGTTTATTGGCTTTGTTCACAGAATTGCTGGCATGAAGACCAAATTTCAATTTGTTATCAAATGTTCTACGCAGGGTCACACAAAGACACTGGAATCAAGCCTTTAAAGTGGACAGTGAACAAGTCACAGAGTCTCTTTGCAATCTGTGCCTGCAAGTACACCAAGGACCCACCCTTCTGTGATGCTACCCACACAAACCTGCCATGTGAAGTCCTAGCCAGACAGAAAAGTTGTACCTCTCTTCATGTTGCTGACAAAAAACTATGTACAGGCTGTGGATGGGTGCCTGATTTCTGACATACATTACTAACCAGATCTCCTTACAGTGTCATAACTAGATTTATAAAGTGCAGTAAAGGTGAATTTGAGAGGATGGTTACACATGTATCATTAAATATTTGTTCAGACTGGCAGTGTGAGAGTCTGTCCTCTGACATACTATCAACAAAATGAATACTTACTGTGTGAGAGCATGTCCTGAAACACCACCTCACCATCAACAAACTGTGTGTGAAAGTCCATCCACAGACATACCATCTCGTCCTTGCCAATTTAGTCTGTCCCTGTTTAAGGATATCTCTATATATCAGTATTAGGTTTGGTGGATGACATGTTGTTTTTCATTTATTACAGCAGACATCACTTTTCATCATGAAAGTGAAAGGTCTTTATTGGGTAACAAAATATCTGCTAGAATGGATTTGTGTGTAATGATATGTATATTTTATTGAATTGTTGTGTTTTGTTTTTATGGTGAACTTGGAATTTAACAGATATTATAAACCTATATGTAGAGAGATATTATATCTAGTCTGGCATTTATGTGGCACCAACTGATCTGAAGCATGATGAGTTTTGATACTTTTTATGATTACATCACTGTAAATACACTGAATTGTTGTTTATCTACTGTACAAGCCTAGCAAATACTGTTTTATATTTGTTTTGATGAAAATATTTCAAATGAAATCAGTTGATCAAATATTGTGTTGGTTTTTTTTTAGTCAATGCACCAAACGTGTGTGAGGATGTTGTGAAATACATCCCTGAAGAGTGGAGAATTGTGATACTACACATCATGTTATCACATTGTTCCTTGATACAAAGTACAACAGGTGCATTCTTTAGTCAAATGAGTTCCACACGTTTACTGGGTTAAAACATCTATGCTTCTTCGTATAATTTTCGGTTAAAACATTTGCTCTGCATACTAAGTTCATTTAAAAGAAGTTAATTCCCTTTTGAAATAAATATAGTGTCCTTTCTGTTGTGTGAAGTTGTGCAAAAATTTTATTTCAAAAATGTATTCTGGTTCCAGTATTTGGATGAAACTGATTGAAATGGATGATATTTTTTTTTATTTCTCAGATTGAGTTCTATGTATTTTGGGAATGTTACAGCATCAAGTTGAATTTCATCGATTTTTTTATCCCAGGAAGTATGCACCCCGCTTAACAAATTTGTTGGTCCTGTTTATAGTTGTCTGTTTGTAACCATTACACCTTGAACTTTCGCAGAATGAGACAGTTCTAGACCAGTATCAAATTAAATACATCCCATATTTTCATCTGCTTGCTGTACCATTTCATGCCCACTTCGGTTATTAGATGTTCCAGGGTACAATGTAATATCTATCCTTCACCATGTTTTAGGTCATGTGTGAATCTTAAGCTAGGGTTCTTTGTGTTGATCTTGGTGGTTAATCAGGAAAAACGACAGAAAGAAACAAAAGATAAGGTAGGAAGTCATAGGATTTGTGTAGTTGTTTTGATTATAAGCAACAGAAGGTTGATGAAGATTGTGGGCAGGGAAAGGTTTATGAAGACTATGGGCAGAGAAAGGTTGATGAAGACTATGGGCAGAGAAATGTTGATGAAGACTATGGGCAGGGGAAGGTTGATAAAGATTATGGGCAGGGGAAGGTTTATGAAGATTATGGGCAGAGAAAGGTTGATTATGGGCAGGGGAAGGTTGATAAAGATTATGGGCAGGGAAAGGTTGATGAAGACTATGGGCAGGGGAAGGTTGATAAAGATTATGGGCAGGGGAAGGTTTATGAAGATTATGGGCAGAGAAAGGTTGATGAAGACTATGGGCAGGGGAAGGTTGATAAAGATTATGGGCAGGGGAAGGTTGATGAAGATTATGGGCAGGGAAAGGTTGATGAAGACTATGGGCAGGGGAAGGTTGATAAAGATTATGGGCAGGGGAAGGTTTATGAAGATTATGGGCAGGGGAAGGTTGATAAAGATTATGGGCAGGGGAAGGTTGATGAAGATTATGGGCAGGGGAAGGTTGATGAAGATTATGGGCAGGGAAAGGTTGATGAAGATTATGGGCAGGGAAAGGTTGATGAAGACTATGGGCAGGGGAAGGTTGATAAAGATTATGGGCAGGGGAAGGTTGATGAAGATTATGGGCAGAGAAAGGTTGATGAAGACTATGGGCAGGGGAAGATAAAGTTTATGAAGATTATGGGCAGAGGAAGGTTGAAGATTATGAAAAGGTTGATGAAGATTAGCAAGGGAAGGTTGATGGGCAGGGGAAGGTTTATGAAAACTATGGGCAGGGAAAGGTTCATGAAGATTATAAGAAAGGGAAGGATGAAGAAGACTATGGGGAGAGGAAAGTTGATGAAGACTATGGGTAGGAGAAGGTTGATGAAGACTATGGACAGATGATGGTTGATTAAGACTATGGGCAGGGGAAAGTTGATGAAGACTATGGACAGGGGAAGGTTGTGGATGACTGGTCAGTGGAAGGTTGATGAAGGCTACATGGAAGTTAAATGGACGTCAACACTTCATCATCGGCAAAGTATGATGATTCTTTTCTTTGTATGACGTGAGGTTTAATTTTCGTTAGCACGTCTGATGGTCCTGTTGTTATGAACCTGGTTCTTTTTTGGGAGCGTGACATTGCTTACCCGAATGTGGTCGATGAAGAAGACGCTAACCCTTCCGGAACACCTAACATTTTTTCTTTCCTGTTTTCAATAGTCTTCGTGTTGTTCATGTCTTAGCCTCGTTTCATCGATTATAACCTTCTATGTCGGTGTTTTCTTGTTATTTGCTAGACACAGTTGTACTTATCTCTACGAGGCCTGAAACCGTGTACATGGACTTTAATTTCATTTGCATTCGGCACGTGTCGTATTTTTACGTTTGTTATAACCCCCTTTATGTGAATATGCTCTTAGCTTACCTTATAAAACCTTGGCATCCCTGGCTCGGGAACGGGAATAATGTCCCGAAATAATTTTGTGAGAAACATGTTCAGAATTTTAAAAATGTAGTCTCCAAACAAGAAAAAGTTACCAAAATAACCGTGTATTTGGAATCAAAGGTATTTCATTAACCATTGCACTGTATCGTTATTTTCTTATGAAATATACTCACATGATAACTTTAGGCTGCTGTCGTAGAAATTGAAATGGGACCGCTTTACAATTCTTTTTTTTTACATTTAGAAAGGTATAGATCGATACCGGAACCGGTCGGGGATTACAAAGTTTTCTATAGGGAATTATTAATGCTTCGGTTTAATGACGTAGATAATAATTTGCTATGTCGAACCCATAGAAGTATGATTTCGTGTCCGAGAGGTCAGCGATGAAATTTGAACTTTTAAACGTGTCATTTTCACTCAGAAATATGGAATTTGGGGCGACGCCTGTAAAATTTATAGAAATGATGATATTCTACTAAACGTGTTTGAGCCAATTGCTTTTACCTAAAACCTTTCTCTTGTAAGAGTGAAATAGTGTTCTTTGTAGTCGGGTTGTTTTTCTCTGTTGTGTCATAAAAGCCAATTACCACGTTTTAAGTTACGCACTACGTGTTAAAGATAATGTTTAACAACTTTGTTCGATTATTCCCCATATTTACATTTTAATGATTAAAATGGATATATTCATAATATACGTGTACGTCGTTGTACTAAAAATCCAAAGCTTGTATATTCTCTGCAGAATAACTGAAACCATGCGAGTTGTTTCGTATTGATACTATAACCAGTAATTCAGTTCCAATATATGATATTTTAATGTAAATGCAAGACATATCAGTCACAAAGATGAATAAACTTACATTCGTTACAGACAGTATAGCATAGGCAAGCTGGGAGGATTTTAACATTAAGTAGGTAATTAATCATATTCTTTCGTTTAGTATCACGATCAGCGCATCCTGTTTGTTTTACTCCGAATCCTTATGCAAACACCAACGGAATCAAATCCTTGCAAGTAGCCATATCGACAAACGATCAACAGCATACTCAAAATTAGAATGTAAGGAAAATCGGGAGATCCAATTGTTTGATACGGTGATGACCATTGGAATATGCAACAATCCGACTATGAACAGTAAATATTGCATTTTGCCCTCTTATGAGAACTCTATATGTGCTGCAGCGGATTTCATTTTTTGCCAAGTCGGAACATTCAAAAGTTCATGCATGTTCACTTAAGTTCCATTCAAATTATTTCACAACTGGTTGTTGAAGACGTTCGTTGATTCCGATTTGACCTACGTTGAGTTATTAAATCGTATGACCTTGACATTGCCGTAATCAAAGCCGACCCACATATCGCCATTTTTGCACATGCCCATACATGTCGGCCCGATATCATCATCAAACAGTGTTCGTATCGTCTGTCCATGTCTGTCGATCAGAATCAAAGATTTAGTCCGACCGTCTGCGATCATGACATTACCTTGACGGTCAAAGCAAACATCCCAAGGCTGGAACTCGTCCTGCTCCGCGCCGTTTTCGGCTAGTTGTCCAGAATAATCGGTATTCCCTTGATAACGAGCGAGAAGCTTCAAATCTTTGTCAAACAATACGACATGACGTGGGGAATTGGCTTCCAACACCACCATATCACCATTGCTTCTGTTAACACGTATGCAAACTGGTTTGCAAAACAGCGGTTTTCCGTCCGCGCCGAAATTAATCGTCTGCATGATTTTGCCCTTGTGCGTTACTCTCACGAGATTCTGTTCCCGATGACGACAGACGGTCACGCATCCCTCTTGTTCCGACTCGCTCAGACTGTTGGCGTAGCATTCTGTGTGGAACATGATTTTGCATTCTCCACTGGGCAATATCTCTCTAATACTGCCGTCCCCGCAGCAGACCATTGTTTTGTTTCCGTCCGCTGTACATGTCACGTCCGTAATCCAAACACCATCGTCCACCTTTGATGTCTGCACCATGTCACCTTTGGCAGAAACTAAGTGGGCCTCGTTACTTCCGCCGCAAATTACCCACGACTTGTGCTCGTCCACTGGCCACACTGACCGGATGTACTTTTGAGCTGATAGCTCAAATGACGCCAGAACAGACACGGTGAAGAGTTTCGTTGGCTTTTGAGCTGGTTGGTTGACAACAGGTGTGTAATCCTCTTCTGCCAACCCCATTTTATCGAGTCGCCATTCTTTCTTGCTCATGGATCCGTACGCGTTCTGGAGTTGTTCACTACTTGAATTTTCCACATTGGAAGACAATTTTGGAGTGTTAAGAACCGGAAGTTGATCTGGTTTTCGGAGGACTAGTGATCTCAGATTTCGTTCCATCAAGGCATATTCCTCGAATTTCTCACATCCTATCACTATTTTGCATTTCTGAATCGTTTGTTTCAGGTCGTTCATTGACTTTTCAAGTGTTTCCTCTAGTTTTCCCATGACGTTATCGTTTTGAGTCCCAACAGCTTTACACTCGTCTATTAAGTTTTCTGTAATTTTATCAATTTTATTCTTCAGTTCCCTACCTCTCACTCTCACTTCATTGACCGTTTCATCAATAGATTTTTGGTTTTGGTCCTGAAGTTTTTTCAGCCTTTTCAACTTTCCATCCATTCCTTTAACTTTACCGTCAGCTTTTTGTACTAATCGCAGAAATGACTCCTTCTTTGTATCGTAGTATCCCTCCATTTCTGCGCACGTGTGTTTAATGTGCGTTGTACTAACGCATTTCCGACATATAGGCTCGTCCTTGCACGTGATGCAAACCATGTCAAACTTCCGGTCTGAATGTTGAGAACATATTCGGTTCTTTAAGTCATCATTTCCACCATTCATTTTTTCAGCAGCCATTGTATAATATTCCACCTGAAATACAGAGAACAATGTTTCATGTATAGACGATTGTCCAAAGAAATACAGACATGTTAGTATACAAAATAAGGATGTGACGTTTCCCAGAGCGTGACTGTATGTAATGCACTATGTTAGCATTGATTACCTGTCTGATGTTGTCGACATTTCAAAGGATAATCAACCGTTCCCTGTATAACGTATACATTACCTATTGCCTGTTCGCCAATCGCACGCGCCCAGATCGATGTTTACCAATATGATGTATACTTGGCAGACCGTTTCTAGTCCAGTTCACCGTATCATCTATTGTTTTGACTATGTTTCGTTTAACTTTTTGATATTTCACTTTGATTCGTGTGTTACTGATTATTCGGGATGTAATTGACAAGATTTGGTTTTGTTTGAGAATCGGGTATTGGTACCATGATACTGTGTGTGTTTTTTTTTAATCTTCCGTATTCATATTGTGTGAAGGCGCGGTAAATAATGGCAATTATGAACTCATGAGTGACCCTTCACATATTGAAATAACTATAGATGTTGAAAAACCAGGATCGATATATACCATTGTTTAATTTGTGATCAGTCGTTCATGCGAGTCTTGCGCTACAGCTTCGTTAGCTTGTTGGAATGGCAATACCCGACTTCCTCGTATATCCGATATGACGGTTAATTCTATTTCGTACGTAATACACACCATAGTTATCTCAATGGATTTACCATATCAATCAATTCAACAACTACGGTTAATCTGATATGTCCTTATTTCGAAGAACTCGTTAGCAAACTGTTGATCAGTCCTTTGTTAAACAACTGGCGGTACCGCTTGTCATCAGATTAATATTGGTTCTCACAGTTTGCATGAATGACACACATAGCGTTAAAAAAGATATAGTCGGTTCTTGTTTGGTTATAAAATTAATCTAAGACAGAAATACTACTCTAGACGCTTGTATCTAAAGTTCATGTGGTCATCGTGAAAAGATTTTACGAAAAGATGTAGACCGGTATTCTACAAGACTTAACCAATATAGAAATACACAGCTCTAATATCATTTCCTTCGTTAACCAGGCTAGAATCGATACGAGTTCCTCTCTAAAAAAAGGTTTGCATTTTTTCAAGCGGACATGTATATCTGATTTTTAAAAATTCTAATTCTTTATCTCTGTAAACAAATTTGAAAATATCTCTGAATTTAAAACATTCTATTTCAGCTCAAATTTACAAATGCTGTCGTAAACAGAACGTGAGCTTCCAAGTGTTACGACTGGGTGAAATTAAGGAAAATATTTTAAAGAAAACGATATCTTTGGACCTGACCACTATTAATAAAATAATTGATGAGACAGACCACTTGCGAACAGGGCGATAAAACACGGTACTAGTGGACAAATACATTGTGGTCAGTTCGTGGACAAGGCTAGGTTATTACCACAGAGTGGTCACAGAACTTACCTTGAACCTTTTATCGGAACGACCTGTCCGTTACTTTTCCATATACAAATGTGTTGTTGTGGACAATTTGGCTATTGAAAAATACTTAGACATATGTTAAAAGCTGAATTTGACAATATAGATCTAAATGGCGAAAAGATAAACCCTGCTTGAATACATGTATAAATAATGTTTCAATAAAAGTACTTACAATTCTCCTTGTAATTCGTCGGTCCCTCTGAATTTCTCACAGATACATCGCTCAGCTAAGAGACCCTCGAGTTCTAATCCGTTAACGTTTGACCCTTCAATATAAACACGAACAAAAAATTGTCACGATCCCCTCTTCCAACAAAGACTAGTATCTACTGGGATTGGTTTAGATCTTTAAATACCGTTAATGTATCAATTCCTTCTGTATGCGATATCTTACGAATCTAAATAAACGCTTGAACTAAAGGCCTCTAGTATATCGATTGTAGATGTAAAAAATCATTACTCATGTGTATATTGTCCCAGCTACAATAAACGATTTAATTCCAAAACAAGTAGCCGGCCTACTGAACCGGACTAATTAAAATGTATACAACTCATTCTCGTTCTATGTTGTATTACGGACTGACTTCCCGCTGTTGTATTGATAAACAGTTTAAAGTCCTTTTTATTCCCAAGATTATGGTATTTCTACAAATTAAGACGATTATAAGCAGACCATGCTTGTATAAACATGTTTTATAAAGAATAATCTGTTATAATTTAACGGTGTTTCTATCAGTTATGTCAAGCTTAATCTGCTTAATGACACCACGCGAAAAAAAATATCGATTAATACATTATAAAATTATCGTTAAAATTAACAACATGCACGATTTTATTTTAAGTTATTGCCTCTAAAAGTTATTCTAAACAAGACAAACTATATTTTCAAACTAAATTTAGGAATATGTCCAAGTTTCCAACACGGTTATAAACATGTGTCCTCTTTCCGACACCATATCGGGTTTTATCGGTACCTCCTAATCTCCTGCTAAATCACGCCACTTGATTTATAATAATGGCTTATAACCAATTACATTGTTAAGTCTATAAAAAAACTATTTTACTTAATTAAATTTAGATTCTGTAATCGCAGGAGGTATATTAACATCTTATCTTTATGTATACACCACGTGTGATAGATCACAGTGTACGTATATTTAGAACAATTTTGGTAACACCTTTAGCCAGCCAAGTACTCGGTCATGTTACAAGATACACTGGTATATATCTTACCGTGATAAATACAGACTAGTCAAGTCTTTCACAGTATCAAAACATGATTCATTAATTGAATATTTTTTGATAATTAGATGATTAAGGGAAATATCTACAATAGTTGAATTTCAATTTCATTTGGACACGATCAAAGGCGATCACCGCATTTGCTACCTTGAACATCACAACCTGTTTTCTTATTGATTGTTCTTGGCACACTAGGAACCAAAAGATACAAGGTACACTCACATCATATCGCATGCATTCCGCAGGTAACCACACGTCAATCAATCAGCGAACGTGAATTCCTTATTCTTATTATCTGATGTCTTTTACATTTACGTAGTTCAAGTGTGTTGCCAGTTACACTTGTGTGTGACGTTTGAATCAACAGTAAAGCATACGATCACTAGTGAAGGGATGGCAATTAAATCGGTTGAATTTTCGGCTATGCTATACTCCTGTCTACTGTGTCAATTAAATTAATGTGGAAATAGGCTATTGGTAATTATCAATAAGTACATCAGGTAGTAAGAATTAACGTATTGTCCTAGGAAAGTCTATTGGCTACGTCTGTTTAAAGCCTTGTCATATGATAGAGTCTATGGGCCCGCTCATCCCGGTTTAGAACCGTCCCGCTAAGACACATCAATATGTCTTTACTATGTGGTAACAATTTACGTATTGACCCACGAAAGTCGATTGACAACATCTGTTTAAAACCGGGTCATAGATATGATAGAGTCTAAGGTACGTTTATCTTGGTTAAGAACCGTTCCGCTACAGCGTATCTCGATGACTTCCGCGACCTGCCGTTTGAAAAGATTATTTTGTGTAATCATCACTCTAGAATTATCCCCGTCATTAATATAGTTTTACTGTAAGTGTGTCATAATTTTAAGTGTCGATTTATTGTTTGGGACACTGTCATTTCTGCTGTAATTAAATCCTTGTTTAGATGTGGTAAGTGTTTATAGGCGCTTTTAACAAGAGATCCCAGATGGATCTTGTCGCCCACCATTTTTGTCTTTGATAGCTGGATCTTTTCCCTTCTTTTCTCTTCTCTGTTTTTGCCCTTAATGATTAGAAATTTGAACATTCATTTGCTGAAATAGCGATAATAATCTTTAAAGGCCAAATCCAAGATGGTCGCAATTCCCCCGCCGACTTTTTTTTTTCATTACAATCAAACCACTGGCACAAATAGGGGCCAAGAAGAACCTACTTATGAAATCCCTGATAGATTCATTCAGTTCTTCTCAAATGAGTGAAATTGAACGGCTTTGCAAGGTCTTTGTGACCTGTTTTGATAAGCTCTTCAATAAATTTAGCTTTGTATGCAAAACAAAAACAAGTCAGCCAACAGAGGGACGCAGTTAGTTCTCAATGGTATGCCAATAGCCTGTTTGAAGATCTTAACGGCAAACTCGACCAAGATAATGCCAACGATTCCATGCTTCTGCACAATATAACCATAGTTTACTGCAAAATCAGCATTCCAGTAAGAACCATTTTATGAAACATCTCGCGACATTGTAGCTTTATTAGCTCTCTCAGTAGTACATACAATGCAATTTCAACTTGAAACTTTACACAAATTAGATATGATCAGCCCTGAATTTGGACAGATCTACCATGCAAGAGGGCCTATATACAGTGAAGAGATGTACTGTGTGTGTAATATACGGTTTATATTGCTGACTAAAAATATCGTCCTTGATGACTGTTGCCGACGGTTCAGACCATCTAAGGTGTAAATATCTAATATAAAAGTGACATATTTATAAATAGCAGACGTGTGACGTCATGTTGTGATGCGAATGACCTGCTTTGCACGCCTTGTGACGAATTTCCTAACCGCATGGAAAGATGTTTTCAAAGAGACCATGTTGTCGTTACCTTAGATTTCATGTACTGAGCATGAATAGAACGAGACTAGAAGCGTACACTGCTGCTGACGATGAACATTCATCGAATTGTACAAATCAATTCATTTATAATACAGTTTATAATAGATACAGCAGAGCCAAACTGCATGGTGCAGCTGTTTAGTCCGTGATTTGGTAGTGAAGTTAGCTCTCTAGTGTTAAAACATTGGTGGTTATTTAGGAAAATCAAAATTGGTAGAATAAATGTAAAGAAAACGAGAGGCCACCCTTTTCTTTCATTTCATTGGACTGTCAACAATATTTATGGAGTTGTTGCTCTTTGTTTTATTCAGCATTTTCGTCTTTTCCACAGATTCCTCATTTTCCACTGATCTCTATTTAAAAAACGTAGCGCTACTAGTATTTCACCAGTCACATTTGGATGTGATGAGTTTTGGAGAATTAAATCACATTTTGTTCTTTTCCATGTTTTGATCATGTTTGGAAATCCTCTTTATTATAACGGAAAATCTTCCTCAGATGCATTTCGACAAGACAATTATTTTTTCATTTCCTGATTTCAATTCAATAATGTTTTTCTCTTTCGTATCAGACGGACTTATACCTCTATCCTATGCCTGTCATACTCTTGTAATTTGGTTTCAAATACAGATATACAGTGTATATGAATGTGTGTGTATAATTTCTGAAAATAAATTCATTTGTTTTGTTTTTCACAAAATAGAAAAGGACAAAACACATAAATTCTGAGAAACAATATAAATTAAAAATTGCATATAGATTTCAAGGTAAAAACAAAAAACAAAAAACTCAAATCTTACTTTCACATTTAATCTGAGAAACAGAAAAAAAGTTTATTCAAGTGACACAAGTAACGACTGATGTAGAATGTAATGAAGCAACATTTGCATAATCATTAACAAAATTAGCTTATCACATTACATAAATGAATGGTATATCTTTAGACATAGAAACACCAATTGTAAATGACTGTGAAGAATACTGTCCTCTGTAATATACTATGACTTGTACATAAAACAGAACACAATGCTTTCCTTTCTGTTGCCTTATAGAATTTCTTACTCTCATTGTTTTAGCAAGTTTTACCAAGGGAGGTAACCACTCTAAAAGCTTTGCGATTTTATCACAGAAAAGAAACAAGACTGGCTATACATTTCTGTATAAAGTTATAAATCATTTGAAAATATATAAAAAAAAAGTTAATATATAAACATTTCTAAAACCCAAAATCAAGTCAGATTGATGTAGGTGATATAGCATGGCACAAAGCAACTGTTTTGTTCTGTTTTAGCAATCTTTGGTCAATATTGGGTTCACTTGGAGTTCATGTCACCCACTGTCTATTTCCAGAAATCATGACTATTTTGGCAGAAATATGCATGACCATGTGACACAACATGTTTCTCAATATCTAAAGATTCACTTAGAGACTGATTTTCGTTTTCATCCTATTAAATTCAGTTGATTAATATTCAAAGCTTGTTTTTTAAATCCAAGGTTTAATGTTTAGTGCACAAAGCAAATTAAATCATCTATACAATCAACAATCAACAACATTTCTAACAATAACACAGTCTTACATTCAAATGGCCTCAGGGCCGTTAGTTTGTGTAGACGGGCATATATACAAACTATTGCACTATATCTCCCCACATATATCTACTAGGGAAGGGCTGTGAAGAAGACTGGCTGATGGGCAAAATGAGGAAAGTTAGTGATAAACATGGGGTTTTGAAAAGATTTGGGAGAAAAGTAATAAAATTTATATACCTGGTATAATATGAAGTATTGAGACATGAATTTTTGCTTGTGTGGTTTATACATTTTGTTCTCCAAAGTATTTTGGAATCTTCAAAATAAACGAAAAATCACTAAATGATTCAGATACATGTCACTTGATACCACAACAGGCCTATTTTACTTTCATACACTCACATATATATATGTCTGGAATTTATAGGATTAGGTCTATCTCTAAGAACACTAATGTTTACAAATTCTACATGAAAATACATTCCATTGATTACCAACTTCATGTTATCATATAAACACAACAAAATAAGAATTAATATCTAATGGGAGACATAGCTATAAAAAACATAAATGTTCCTTAATCAACTATAATCAATCTCTTTTCTTGAACTTCTTTGGTGCACACAAACAGATTTCCTGTGTTGATAGATTAACAGCCTAACCCATGTAAAAATGATGAAATCAACTGAGCTTAATGAAAAAAAAAGAAAAAAAAACACATGACGAGAACACAATATCTATCAGTTATGCCTCTTTCCGAAAACCACTTCTACTTCCATCAGCACTGTTTTATAGATGTTTCAAGGTATAATTCAATGTTTACAGTAATAATATACAATATGAAATACTACTAGAAAAACATTGATACACATAATACACACTATCATTACTAATATGTACGGAGATGATTAAATACATAATTACACGATGTTTAACAGCAGGGGAGATGTGACAAATACTTGTACTTAAAGTGGCTGAACACTTCCTGGAATTTCCCACCTACCATAGTAAATCCACCTTTGCATTACAGTGCTAATATAGACCCGACGAATTCAAATAGTATTCATTGCTAAATAAATGACATTGCCCAATATAGTGATGTTACAGTTCTATTTTTATTTTTTAAATCAAATGTCCTTCCAGGAAGTTGTCTGTTCTAGTCATAAAAAGGTTTTCACGAAACATACACTTGACTCAATGGTGAGTACTGAAAAATGCACATAATGTTCGGAGATTTATTTTTCAACTCTAAATATATGTATTGAACTGCAATAAGTTGGCTTACATATCTGCTGTAGAAGCCAACTGAAAGAAATTTAATACTTAACTGAGACCTTCCACCTCGGGCTAATTGAACACTTACTATGTAGTGGAGCCTAAATGGTCATTAAAATAGTAACACATGGAATGATGAACTTAAAATCAATATCTTACATCATCAGATAAAATATCAATTTTATAACATAATTATGGACCATTTCTGAAACCACTTCATTTCCATAAATAACATGAGAATAATGAATGTTTAAACAGAATATCTGAAATATTCATCTTTTCCTGATATAACATTGGATCAAATTAAGATCCAGACTCGTTTCATGATCTCCATTTTAGCAGAGGATAAATGAAAGAGGTGATGCTCCTTCAAAATGGTGGACACAAGCACTGACACAAGGTGTTGATATACCTTTAGAAGGTGAGTACCACACAAGCACAGATTATTTACATATCCAATATATACAAGTATAAACAGCGGTGCTCTTTGCCCCAAGATATGGTATGTCAACCATATAGCACTATTAAAACCAATCACAACATCAAATATGCACATCTGATACAGTATTTGATCCATAATGTGTTATAAAAGTATCTTAAAGTTGTTACATACTTTAATTATGTACTATTATCTCTATGTATAAAAACAATGTCTACACTACGTCTATAGTAACAGTATAAACAGGTAAAAACTCCCAAACCATCATGGCTTTCCTATCTCACTCTCATACACACTTCCCAGGTAATCTTAATAACATAAATAAATAACAAAATGATAGTCTATGAACTTATGTCATCTAAAACAGCTAACGAGTAAATAACAGATTTGCTGTATTGAAAGACTCACTGATCCTTTACTATAAACAAACTGTGCACACCTTTCTACTGTCAACTTACAGGTAGCTAGCTTTCATTTTCAGGAAATCAACCTAACCTGTTACAACAATTCTCATCAGGTTATCCTATCCATAAAGCTGATTCTTTTCTCTATCAGCTAATGTAATGTTAAAAGTCTGTCTACCATAAATCCTTCAATGCATCTTAGCATAATGTAAAAGTCTTATTGATTTTTCATTGTGGCGTGCCACACGTGACTTTCCTCATATGAGTCTTGTGTTAAATGTGTAATACCTAGAATAACATGCATCATACAAGTTTTGAGACTGCTTTTTTTTTGCAAAAATATCCTCTTAAAATAATATTTGAAAAAGTTTTGAGTTGACATCAGCTTAAATAAATATACACTATAAATTGAAATCTGAAAATTGCAAATAAACACGTTCAAAAGTTACATACATGTAATATATAAATACTTATTTCATTTTACATGGGTCATGGAAGAACCCTTCCTAGTATATAACATTTTAATCATACAACCACAATACAGCTTTAATGATCATGAAATTGTTGAAAGATGGATATTACTTCTATATTAAATGCATAATACTACCATTGTGTAGATAGCATAGCTACTTAAAGCATGTGTGTACAACATCCATCGATTGTTGGCTAGAAATAGTAAGAAAAACTTCAATATGTTAATATCCTAACATTTAACTACTATGCATACATGTTCAAAAGCCTGAATAAGAGAAAACTTTTAATAGTATGTACTTATATATGGTCTATCTAGGTCTAATATAGAATGATCAGCATTTGTTAGCCCTGTAAACTTGACAAAAGTCCACAGACACACCCTCAGGTATGTCTGCTATATACCCTTTGCTTTGGGGTCTCATGCCATTTTTGGTCTGACATTGTCACAGCATTCATTCTTGATGATTGTCAATCAGACTTGCTTTCACAAAATACTGATCTGCCACTGTGCCTGCATCGGCATTAGTTAAAGGTCTTTGTTGTTAAGGTCTTGAGGTCACTGAGGAAGCCTTCTGGTGTCAGTATATGTGTGGAACCTGAAAAAGTGTTAAATATGAACATTTTTTATCGGTTACATTATTCTTATATGGTTTGAAAGTCTATTCCCACAATGTACCAAGTATTCTGAGAAAAACTATCAAAATATTTTTAATTGCCATGGCAACACTTACCAACCAGGACCTCCCAGTTTTTACATGCCTGAGTAACCTCATAAGCACATCTCATCTCAGCATAGGAAAGCCCTCCCATGATAAAGATGATAAGTCTTGGCCCACTCTTGTAGCTTGCCTGAGTCTTGTCTTTGTGCCAATGACCATACCGTGCACTAAGAAATAAAAGACCCATTAAATGAATAAACAAACAAGATCTTTTAATTAACAATGAGGGAAATTACTACCTTACTACCTATCTCTCTAGAGAATAAATGGAATTAATGTGGAATAAATGATGAACAAACAGCTACAACCCTGTAATAATGAGGCAAAAGGCCTGATTGGAGCATGAAAAATTCTGCCATCCCAGGCCTTACTAGCATACAAAATTACAAGCCAGTGTTAGAGATTTTCTCTAAGCGAAGTACTTACTTCATTCTCATCTCACCTATCTCTCCCTGGCTAAATGATAATCAAGTAATTTCTTAAAAGCACTGATGTATTCTTTGGTAACGTTACCTGATTGGTTTCCTCATTCCACTTGACCTCTGAACTCCTCCAGACAGGAAAGGGAAGGCACGTGTATCAAGTTTCTCCTCTGTTGCATCCTGGGTAAATAAAACAATATGCTCAACAATATCTCCTATCATCTTCAGTGCAATGCACCATTCAATATAGTGTATGGTAATGATAAAATTTATCACATTCATATCTTAATCTATTTTGGAACATTTCCTTCAGATTGGTAATGTCAACAGTTCTCTGTCGATTCTGTACCATCACATACGCTACGTACGTCAGTGCTGGTACACTCCACACTGGTCATTTGTCTGATGAAGGTGATGGTGTAGTCATCTAAATGTCACACTCTAATCTTCTACTTAATGTGTTATAAGAACATCTTTATCTAATAATGCAATTTTCTTCTATAAAATATGTAGTCAATCAATATAAAAAAGATGTGAAATCAATGTTGTATAACATTGAGTAGGATGTGAATTTAAGTTATATGATAAATATTTGTAAATAAATTTAAATATTTGAAAGTCATTGTGAACCTTTCAGTACAAAGCCTCTCTCTATGAGTTAAGAGTGAATCTTTTATCTCAACCTGATTGAAACCATTGATTATATGATTATGTTACACGAGATTTTGTGTCTAGAGATGTAAAAATAAGAGGTTTGAGTAAGACTTTTTCGGTGTAAGATTTAACATGATGCTAGGGGCCACAGTGTGTACCTCCATGATGTCCTTGATGTAGGGAGACCAGCGGGACACTTGGTAGGTGTTCTCATTTCTTTCCCGTCGGTTGGTTGAGTGGTATGGCTGGGATGGCCTCTTCCTTCCACCCTGTGTACACATACATCACCCATGCATGATAAATGCAAACAAAAGCTATGACGAACCTTAACCATGGTATCATCTCACACTACAATAAATATATAGGTACACATACTTGTCCACAATTTCTACAAACAGTACTATGATGAATTAAAAACATTTTTCAACTTTTTATTCTCCTGAACATAAATACAGAAGAATATAAATTTTTTGTGTACAACTAAACTCCTGAGGTACATTAATCAAATACAAGATTTAAATGCCATAAAAGAAATCGTTTACAGGATTATCAAAAAATTAGCCATTGTATCATATAATACATGTATCTAATATGTTGTTTAGTACTTACTTAAATGGCACAATTAATTTACCATGGGATTTATTGATTTATTTACTCTTGTGTTTTACTGGTTCTAACACATGCAGGAAAAGATAGTGTACAGTGAAGGTTTTAATGTTTGATTGGCATTTTAAACATTCTAGAAAAATCCATTTCAGAAACAATGTGAAAAAAACATCAAGGAAATAGTCATTCTAGATAACAGGGACAAAAGGAAACTTTATTTTAGGGATAAAGAAAACTTCCTTTTCTGGAATTTCAAATAAAAAAAAACATTTAAGAGTAAAATTAAGTGGTGAAATATGGCTTGAAATATTAGACAACATTAATCTAATATAGGTACCAAGCATGCCACATCTCGGTTTCAATTTTCTTGTCATTTTCTGTCATGCAAATTTGCTGTCCACTCATACAATTTAATCTTTTTCAAGCATCCTGCCACCTTTAGATACCTTGGTTAGCTAAGTATCCTATTTTATCACAAATAAGGACCCCTCTCATACTTTTATACATGTACCAGAAATAGTAGGTCATTCAGAATTAATCCCCATACCAAAGATTTTTGTATTTTGGGGGGATTAACCATTGCCAAGTTTCTGTTAGTCTTTCCGATCCACAAGAAACGATATTCAGCAACCATGATATGCACATGTAGTAAGCCCTGATGAATATAATAATTGCTGTGGATGTCAAGAAATATGGTAACTAAGAGAAAAGACCACAAACCAGTATGAAAATTAGAAATACAGAAAAGGTTACCCAAGCAATGTGTCACCATTACCAAAAAGATCACCAAACATTTTATATTACCATGGTAACTGGAGAGAAACCAAATAGCCTTATTACCATGACAATTGTACATAAATCAGCAAATATCTCTGTTATAAATTGCCAAACATTTCTGACACCATGGTAACTGGAGATAAATCTGCAAATATTTCTACTGCTACAGTAATTAGCGATAAATCACCAAAACATTTCTGTTGCCATGGTAACTTGAGATGATTCAGCTGTTTTGTGAACACCTGGATACAACAATATAAGAACAAAGAAGATCAAACCCTTAAACCATCTTCATTTATTTCTATTCATAATGAGAAAACAGAAATATTTAAAGTAATTGACAAGGTAAATGAAAATAAACACTCTCAAATGATTACATCCTCTGTCATGTCCAATATATACATCTATATTGTCAAAATCATCACACCTATCTTGTGCACATTGTGAGGGTTTCTGATGTGACAGGGCATTCTTAGTGTTAAAAAACGACATGTTTTTACAACACAGAACGAGGAGAACAAGGAACAGAGAGACAAGATTAATGACAGCCTGTGGCAAGTTAAAATGGTCAATAAACAGAACATGGATAAATATGGTCATTTCCTGTGAGTGGAATAATAAGAGACATCTACAAATATATCTGTATGAGGAAACACTTCTTGTCATGATTGCGCCTAAACATAGATCTGATGTACTGTATAAGTATTAACATTTGTGGGACATGGAAGATAGTGTCAAATAAAATACCTTGAAAATATGTTTACAGTGAATCAAAACATCAGAGAAATGATATGCATCCCTGTTTATACATTAAAGCAGAGGAGGGAAAAATTCAATCCTCATGAACAAGACAAAGCTGGCACAAATACAATTATACAGTAACCAACATTTAAACTATGGCACTTTTATAGAAGTTGGTGTAAGATGTGATGTCTTGAGTCCTATTTGAATAAGAATGAAGGAAAATATAAGATTTAAGATTACATATACATACAATTTAACAAAGATCCAAAATGGTACAAAAATGTCTTTAATTGCCTGCATATAACCCCCAGTTGATATGCCCCTTTTTAATGTAGAGATGCCTCTTGTAGACCAGAGCTAACTAATTGTGGCTTTTTTCACTTTTTTTCATATATGTTATCTGCTTCCTACTTAATATATGAAAGTCCAGCGGGAATAAAAACCAAAATATTAAAATCTGGTCTGTAGTAATTTCAATTTATTTACGTTAAATTTGCTGTAAGTATAGTGTACTTGTAATATTTACAAGGTAGGTTACAATTAATTTTTCACACTATCCTTTTTATGAGCAGTCATAGGATATGTTTATGTCAAACATCATTAATCCAACATTCATTTCTATCTCATTCATACATTCCTTTGAACTGCAACAGACAACTACTCCTGACAAATGTTTCTCTTGGAACTGTCAGTCGTTTCAGAATTATCATTGACTGAGGTCTTGAGCCAATGCCCATTCAAGATCGTACAAATCCATAGTTAGTGTTCTCATGACCAGCCGCAACATCTGTTCCAACATCTTCAAGTGAAGACTGTGTGACTATTGTGCAATTTCGAAAAAATATTTTGTTACGTTTCATAAATCTGAAATACTTAATGGGTCCACCTTAAAATCTTCAAATTCCATTCGAGTTTCCCTATTACATGTACCATGATTCTCCGCAAAATTTATAACTGTCAGTTGTGATTAGGCAGTATAACCTTGTCATTTTCTTTTCCAAAGGGCCTCACTATCTCTGCAATGTTTTCTATGCCTTGGAGACAGGGGCTGTCCATGTTACCAAATCTGACACTCACCAAATAAACTTCGGGTTTTCAAAAATGATGACAACGACTGAACATTCCTTACAGTGTTCACTACTCAAAGTCATCATAATCTATACTGGCAATACAACATCCATTTTGTTCATGTATTCATGTACTCACCAGGTACAATCTTACATGAATAAAAGTGATGTATTACCACCATGGGCAATCTGCTGGTGCAGGTGGTCTAAAATTAATTTTACAAAATGCTGAAAATGCCTTACTATACATGCCAGACATATCCCTGTGCAGATAATACGAAGGAAACTACAGTAATAAGAAAAATATATTTGCAGAAATTTCACCATCCTTCACATTAGCCTGGTGTATTAATGTCTTCATTAGGTATCAGAAGTAGACTTTTCGCATTGACTGTCATTACAAGACTCCTAGCATCATCCTTAGATCTGATAAAATCAGAGTTATTACCTCATACTTCCTCTTTATAGAAACATAAACAAATCTATTGTCCAGATGTTGAAACAGACATCGCTATAGAAATACTTCATTTTACTACAGTAACAAATGATGTGGTTCTTTGTGAATAGTGATATCTTTTATGTCTGTATCTTTACCTATCACTGACCATTGTAACTTTGTTGATGGTCAGTAAAACAACACAAAAATATATCTGTTTATTTCATAAGAGCAGGTGATTTCTAGTAATCTAATTACCGTGAGGTTATGAACATGCATCATAAATCATTTATTTTTCAATCCAATTAGTACCAATAATAATTCTCTATCACATTATTGAAATAATCATCTGATATGTTTTATAATGGCATACTCAAAGCTATAAAAGTGCGGTAATCACTGCTGTCTTTAATCGTCACGAGCTTCTACAAAGGGAGGCTATCACACATTACGATATCATGTGAGGGAGGTAGAAACTGAATGACATTTGGACACACAGTACTCTATCAGTACTAGCTAGGGGATCTACAACCCTGTATCACCACCACCAAACCCTAATGACTGGATTCTCAATCTGTCTCAAAACTGACAAAAATATAGTCTAATTCAATAAGCTTTTTTAGGAAAACATTCCTTTCAGTACTTTAAAAGCTTAATCTTGCTTTACACCTCAGAAAGGATTAGAAGCTTTCATAAGCAAATCTCTCAAAACAAAGCCTGGTAAAGCTACATTGAACTCTAACTATTGGTACAGAATTATTTTGATATACGAAAATTTAAAACACAAGCGCTAATTTGGGAATTATGAGATTTCATTAAAGCGTTGGATACAGATATATGACGCCATATTCTGGCTAAGCACATGAAGCATGGTGGTGGATATACAAGAGCAAGGACTACAACTCAACAGCTACAAATTTACCACAAAAACCAGGAGAACACAGCAGAGAGGAGTTTCGCAACAAAAGACTGCCATGTTGATACAACTGGAGATCTGAATTTTGTTCTTGGTTGATTACAATGATATATATTAAAAGAGAGTTCTACGAAACTGATACAAGGTAAAAACACAACAGCTTTTGATTGGTCAAATACAAAGAATACCCTGAAATAAACATAACACCTAATGATGTTCATAGGTATATTAATGTCAGGCTTAACCAACAATACTGGTACTACTTCATATCATCTAATGCCAGATGTTACACCAATACTTCAATGTTTTCATTGGTATTTACATTAAAACATGCCCTATCTAACAAATGTTAGACACAAAGCTCAGTTTGGATAAACCATCAGAAAACTGGATTTTGACGGGATGTTGGAATATTCTAGGGTCATATTTTGAGAAATTTCACAGTAATACTCAATATATAATTATGTTCACCAAATATGTTAAACCTATACTCACTACCAATCACATACAAATGATTCTTTCAAGATATTTGAAAAAATAATAAGAAAACAAATAATTCTTTTCTGAAGTAAACAAGATCTATCTTAATGTTTTTCCTCAAAGTGACATATATCTCAGTAATATTCTAAGTGCATGTTATGTTTTCAACAGCAATATTCCATGAAAATGTCCAAATGTTAGCCATCAATTGATATTAATTACTATTTGTTGGCCCAGACAGTAGCACAGATAAATTCATAATAAGGGAGACAACTGGGGTACCCAAAGAAAATCCACGTAATCAGGTATGTGACCCAATACATTTTTACATCGGAATATCACATCTTCCAACCACAACAGACATGTACAACCCTTTAACATCAGGTTTCTTGTCAACAATCCACTAAGTCATGAGCAACGTATCATTTCCTTTAGTTTAAAATTCATTTCAAGTATTAATTAAATTATCTCAGATCATATCTAATTCACATCCTTCCAATACAGTTGATTAAATAATCATCCTTTTCAGGTTTGACTTGCATTGCAAGGAAAGGTCTATACAGCTGTACTAGGACAAGGTTGACAAGATTGGTTCTACTTATTCGATTCTGAGTTGTATCAATATTTATTTATTTATTTTTAAAATTGTGATAAATTTTCACCCGTAGGAAAAAAAAAAAAAAAAAAAAATACTCTTCCAGGCTTTTTTAAGGTTTAAAGAACACTAGGCAAGATGAAAAGATTGCATTAGTAGTGTTACACAAAATAGAAGCGCTACAGCTGTATTTTTTTTGTGTTGCCCGAAATACAAGTGTTACAGCTTTATTCATTTTGTGTCCCCGAAATACAAGTTTCACAGCTATATTTATTTCATGTCCCCGAAATACAAGTGTCACAGCTATATTTATTTTGTGTCCCCGAAACACAAATGTCACAGCTATATTTATTTTGTGTACCCAAAATACAAGTGTCACAGTTATATTTATTTATGTGATGCCAGAAATACAAGTGTCACAGCTTTATTTATTTTTTGTCACCGAAATACAAGTGTCATAGTAAGTTATTAAGCGTTCCTCCAAAATACACTTGTCATAGCTCCATTTTATGTTGCCTGAAATACAAGTGTCATAGCTAAGTTATTTTGTGTGTTCCTCAAAATACAAGTGTCATAGCTACTTTTTATGCTCCCCCGAAATTAAAAGTGTCATAGATAAGTTATTTTGAATGTTCCCCGAAATACACTTGTCATAGCTACATTTTGTGTTCCCCTGAAATACAAGTGTCATAGTGTTCCACCGAAATACAAGTGTCATAGTAAGTTATTTAGCGTTCCCCCAAAATACACTTGCCATAGCTACATTTTGTGTTCCTGTAAATACAAATGTCATAGACAATTATTTTGTATGTTCCCTGAAATACACTTGTCATAGTTAGATTTAGTTTTTAAAAAGCTATTGGTTCATGATGAAGCCAAGCAGCAAATACTCAAATACATATACTCGGTGAGTTTCTATAAGATTAGTGAACCCACAAACTACAGAAAATATATACTCCTATTTTTGTCTTTTCATTCCTCTCTACCGTTAGCTATTAACTTTTGTGTTTTAACACTTTGCTAATATAGTAGTGACCAGTAACCACATGATAGTCAAACATGTAGGTTATTAAGAACCTGCTATCAGCAAATCTCATCTCTGCTACATTTTAATGAACGTAATCTTAAAAATTAATGTGATAATAAAAACAGACAAGAAGGTATAGATTGAAAAAAAAAAAAAAAAATGAAGAAACAGACTTGGTTTTGGTTGTGTCACCATTTACCAATCGCAAGACGTGTTTAAATTAAATGGACCAATAGCAGCTCCCGATAGAGAGGCAGATAGTCTCACCTGTGCTATGGACTGAAAAGTGCCATAGCTAGCATCTTCTAGCAGTCCAACGCTAAAGGACTTGTTACCAGCTGCCTGTTGCATGCAAAATTATCAAAGGATCAAGAAAGTAAATCAACGAAATATATCCCATGTCCGACATCCATTAATAAATAAGATTTTCACACAAATCTGAAGTCTCCCGTAGATGAGAGCAAGGCCAAACACATAAGTACAAAACATACACAATCAAGTAGTAGATTAGGTAAAAAAAAAAGTATAAATCAATTAATAAAACAACTTATTTCCCAAACCTTCATACGTATTAGTACACATTCCACTATAAGAGAAAATCATACTTATAATATAAATGTATATGAAAAATCCCATGGAATGGAAACATCTTTAGGAAGAAATCAGGATGTGATGATAAATATATGTATTGAAGCTAATTTTATGGTAGTGGCCACGTCGTGAAAATTCAAATCTCCAATTTTCAACAATGCCATACGATTGTAAAACTTTGGTACATTTAAACTGAATGACATCTAAAGCAGTGTAACACAGTACATGTTTGTGAATGTGGGTGCAATCACAATGAGGCCATACATCGTAACAAAAACAGATACGAGAAATCTGCAATATAGTCCTTTGTTTTGTTGTCTGCAAAACTGGTGCCAATATTTCAAAACAGAAATAATAACGAGAAAAAAAATAAATTTTGACACAAATTAAAGAATTCTAAGAATTTCAAAAATGTAGATGTTATTAGTACTTTAGCTTTTGCCAACAGTCACGGGCCACAAAAAGTAAGCGCTACATATCTCCCTTTTATCTACCTAACAAACAACGCCTGTTGTATCTTTTTATTTTTGAGAAAATTGTACATGTATTACCCTTAAATCTTAATGGATTTCATTGTTAAATCTTTCAAGTATATAAATTAACAACGTAACTGCTATAAAATAATTCTAGTGCCTATATGATTGGGGAGTATGAGTATGAAATGCAATTAATGGTTTATATGAGAAACTTCATGCCATCAGAATGTAACAATGTCTGAAATATATCTATATGTGTTTTGTTTAAGAAAAATCACTACATTATAAATATATCTACATAACAAAGGATACAAGCGTAGGAGTTGTTCGTAAACAATAGTATCAAATTCCACTCATAACTTAGAACTTGCCAGGTCAGCATATAAATAGAAACAAAATATACCGTAAAGATCACCGTCGTAACTGGTTGCCAAGGAAAAATTCTGTTGTCAAGTTTGTCTACTTACATCCTGTATGATTGGGACACCCAGATGCTGTGTATTGGTGATAATGCAGGTCTCCTCTGGAGGGATCTGGGCATGCTGTCCTAGCTTTGCCAAATTCTCCTCAGAAATTCCTACATACAAAATTCACATATTGATAACATTTAAATAGTATTCAATCCCATCAAATCTAGTCTCCCTTTATAATATCAAATCTAGTCTCCCTTTATAATATCAAATCTAAGTCTCCCTATATAATATCAAATCTAAGTCTTCCTTTATAATATCAAATCTTAGTCTCCCTTTATAATATCAAATCTAAGTCTTCCTTTATAATATCAAATCTTAGTCTCCCTTTATAATATCAAATCTAAGTCTCCCTTTATGATATCAAATCTAGTCTTCCTTATCCAGTCTTCCCCATATCAAACCCTGTCCCCCTTTATATCAATCCCAGTCCCCCTTTACATCAAACCCAGTCTCCCTTTATATCAAACCCAGTCTTCCTTTACATCAAAACCCAGCCTTTCTTCATATCAAACCCAGTCTTCCTTTACATCAAACCCAGCCTTTCTTCATATCAAACCCAGTCCCCCTTTATATCAAACCATGTCCCCCTTTATATCAAACCCAGTCCCCCTTTATATCAAACCCTGTCCCCCTTTATATCAAACCCAGTCCCCCTTTATATCAAACCCTGTCCCCCTTTATATCAATCCCAGTCCCCCTTTATATCAAACCCTGTCCCCTTTATATCAATCCCAGTCTCCCTTTATATCAAATCCTGTCCTCCTATATATCACAATCAGTCTCCCTTCCAGTCAGTCTCCCTTTGAAATGTAGTCTCGTTTTACATCAAACTCAGCCTCCCTTTGTATCAAATCTGATCTATTACATTGAACTCAGTCTCCTGGTATCAAGCCTATTTCTGTATCTGATCTGGTCTCCAGTTGTATCAGACCTAATCTCCTTTTAAATAAATGTAGTCCCCCATCTTTTTCTAACCTTCATTAATATCAAATCTAGTCTTCCTTTATATCAAACCTAGTTCTGTAACTTTACGATGTAGTCATAGAATGAGCATACCTCCTTTGTGAATGATATAAAGAAGAATGATGCGAATCTTGTCATAGGCTGCAATGTTCTGGTCCAGTAGAATTGGTACAATATTTCTCATGTGGTCCTTGATCTTTTCTCCTTCAGCATCTGTACCCATGGCAAGGTCCTGTTATACAGAATTACAGAAAATAAATTAAGAATATCTTTCACTCAACATTCTAAGACACTGTCAAGTCAAAAACAGCTTTCAATAAATGCTATTAAACAGCAGTATAACAGGACCACTTCCTGAACAGCAGATTGTGTGGTTTCAGGAGCCCCTGTCCAGGAATCAAGGTTAATGAATATATCATAAGATGTAAATTTTGTCAGGATGAATATTTTTGGAGGTTAAAATTTTTTCAGGGCTCGTGAATATTTTTGGAGGTGTACATTTTTTAAGGGCTCGTGAATATTACAGGAGTTGTGCATTTTGTCAGAGCTAGTGAATACTACACAGCTGTATATTTTGTAAGGGCCTGCGAATACTGATTCTATTTGCCAAAAACATGAAAGTAGGATTGTGGTAGAATTGTTCATAAATTGAGCTGATACCTTTGAAATGAAATTCATGTGTGAAATTGTAAAACTCTTAACACAAAAGATATCAGTTGACATAACTAGCAATGCATTTAAACAATTTCAATAATTTTAGACTTATTTTCCATCTGAATTTTTGTATTGTGTCCATAAATGGTAAAGATTTTTGAAGTTTTCTTAAAACAGCGCAAAGTACCTCCCTTACAACACTATTATCAAAAGGGATTAATTCTCATCAGTAAATTATGTGTTAACAGAGCCATCAAATTCTACTCAGTACAGTCATTTATATATCTTTTATCAACTAGATCTACAGTCATGAAGATTGAGAAAAGATTTCAATGTACCTGTTCAACCTTACAAAGCTTGTCGACATGTTTCTGGTAAATTCTCATGCAGTCCTCAGCCAGGTGGAGGTGGGTGGAGTACTTGCTAAGCTCTTTCTGGTACTGTGGCATCTTCTTAATCATCTGTGATACATCTCTCATGTTGGCTTTACCTCCCTCTGAGTCCTTCAGGCGTTTCTCTTGTTTGAATTGCTTAAGTTGCTTGTTTACCTGCCTAAGAACAAGTTATTATCACAATACTTTAAAGTTTCAGTGTCTAGCAAATTTTTTTTTGAAGTGTAGAGAATGTAAATGTGGTTTACATTGGAAATTAGTCAAAACAATAGCAATCATCTTCATTGATACACTACAGGAGAAATATGACAAAAGTTAAGAGCACAAGGCAACACTCCAGTATAAAGTGACGGCAATGATATCTGGTATTCATTTCAATTTTACATTTTTAAGTATGTACCAATAACTATCAGAACCTGAAATAAATACAGCCCAAAATGAGCAATAAGTTTCATGAAATAGTGATACAGATTTGGAAGATAATTAATATATTAATTGTAAATCTTTTATCAAATTTTGTTTCTACTTTGAGAAGTAAAAACCAAAAACTGTTCACAATTTAAACTTCAATCTGAACTCCATAATCTACTATAAAGACAAATTGAAACTTTTTACACTGATAACCTTGTTTGACCTATTATGAGATATCACAGCAATGTTTAACTTACTGTGAGACAACAGCAATGTGTTGGTGACGAAGCTCAACCCAAAGTTCATCATTCTCATGTAAAAGAGATTCCTTGTCACTCATGTCATTCCCACTTGTACTCACATACCTACAAGAAATTGTATGAAATTATGAATATAAACACATCTCTGGTCACATAGAAATAAAGCTAAACACTAAGACCAACACAAACCCACTAATTATACTGATAAAATGAAACACTGTTCCTCTTTTGACAATATACATATGCATTCCTAAAGTACATTTTGTGCTCTGTGTACTGATTACCTGCATATACAGAGCTGGGATGTCAATTCATGTCGGCTGGTGCATGCATGACATGACATTGAGACATTAAAAAAAAAAAAAAAAACCAGGACTCACAGAGATTGCAATTACAAGGCTACATTGTTTAGATATTAAGAGTAGATTATTGCTTGCACCTGGGATTTCAACACTGAACACAGTTGATAAGGCCTAATGTGAATAAAAGTGTTTGTGGATGTAATTTTAATACAGCATAACATGTTTTTTTATGGTACTGTATAAAGATCCACAATTAAACATTTTCAGCAGATATAAAACGCTTCTAGCATCCTGAATTTTCAGAGAAATTGGAGACTGTATGACATGTGATACTTGGGTTATATGCATCACACCTACTTGTAAACATCGTTGGTGATTGGCAAGAGATCATATGCCATGGCCTGGAATGTTAGAGCATGAAGAAGAGGGGTGATTGGGTCAAATCCTCGGTCCAATATCAACAGCTGTGAGCGGTCCTTTTGTGGTCCCTGGTAACAGTAACAGGTACACAATTAGAATACTCTCAAACGCACACAACAACGATGACAAATCATAGACAGATCAGTAAATCTCTTCTGATGTATCACATAAAATTCATCAATTATGGTATCTAATCTAATCTAATGGATTTTTAAGATATCATTAAGGTGAAGAAATATGGTTATAAGTGTGCTTTAAGATGTTTTATTGAAGACACTTGCCAGTATAAAATGATACCTGCAATAATAACTGAGATAAAGAGTTGACAGATCTGATATCAAAAATGATATTTCACTTTTTTTTCTTTCTTTCTATTTGTAAACAAATTTCTTTTATTCTTAATAGCATCATTGCTCCATCAAATGCAAATTGATATACACAACAATCATAACTCCCAATGTTGGGTCATCTCACCAAACGTTAAATGATAACTCACCTCTCCCATGGTGTGATCATCTGCACGGTATGCATCCAGCTTTTGTTGAACCATTTGAGCAAACTCAGCATTCTTGTCAAACTCACTGGTGATAATACAAAGAAATGATTACAACAGGTAAATCTCAATACTTCAGTTAGGAAATGTCTGTTCCCTTTACTAATGTAAATATGAAAACATGTATCCAGTGCAGTTTTATTCCACTTTATATGAAACTGTTCATTTTTGACCCATGTTTAAATTGCCTAAAAATATACATTAAGAAAATAACTCTGCTAGAACATTGAATTCATGCCACAGCTAGAGCATTGCATTCCATCCACAGCAAAAACACTGGATTCAAGCCCTAACAAGAACAATGAATTCATGCCACAGCTAGAGCATTGCATTCCATCCACAGCAAAAACACTGGATTCAAGCCCTAACAAGAACAATGAATTCATGCCACAGCTAGAGCATTGCATTCCATCCACAGCAAAAACACTGGATTCAAGCCCTAACAAGAACAATGAATTCATGCCACAGCTAGAGCATTGCATTCCATCCACAGCAAAAACACTGGATTCAAGCCCTAACAAGAACAATGAATTCATGCCACAGCTAGAGCATTGCATTCCATCCACAGCAAAAACACTGGATTCAAGCCCTAACAAGAACAATGAATTCATGCCACAGCTAGAGCATTGCATTCCATCCACAGCAAAAACACTGGATTCAAGCCCTAACAAGAACAATGAATTCATGCCACAGCTAGAGCATTGCATTCCATCCACAGCAAAAACACTGGATTCAAGCCCTAACAAGAACAATGAATTCATGCCACAGCTAGAGCATTGCATTCCATCCACAGCAAAAACACTGGATTCAAGCCCTAACAAGAACAATGAATTCATGCCACAGCTAGAGCATTGCATTCCATCCACAGCAAAAACACTGGATTCAAGCCCTAACAAGAACATTGAATTCCAGACCAAACAAGAACATTGAATTCCAACCCCAACAAGAACACTGGATTCCAGCCCTAACAAGAACACTGGATTCCAGCTTCAACTAGAACATTGGATTCCAGCCCCAACAAGAACATTGGATTCCAGCTTCAACAAGAACATTGGATTCCAGCCCCAGCAAGAACACTAGATTCCAGCTCCAACAAGAACACTGGATTCCAGCTCCAACAAGAACACTGGATTCCTGCTCCAGCCAGAATATTGTGTTTCAGTTCCAACAATAAAATTGGATTCCAGCTACAGCTAAAACAATTATGCCCTTTTATGTTTGCCCTATTGACAAATGGATGAAACAGATGAAAGTTAAACTTTAGTGAAGGTATACATAGTAATCAATGTATGCAGTTTGTTTAAACACATCATTTATCAGGAAGAAGATTATCATGCCCTGCTCAATGAAGAAGGACTGTGCTCTAATAAAACATGATATAATAAAAGGGAATCTAATGATTGTGTTTCCCTATGTAAGGATAATGACAATATAATGATATGAAGTTCCATAACAGATGAAATAGTCAGTTGTGTAACCAATCAATGTTCAAATGTTAATTATCGTCGGGACAACACCACTCATACTGTTAACATAAAGACTTCAATTTGAAAAGAATATTACAGGAAGACGATCCATGAATCTATGCAATCAACAGTTCCATGTCTCCATAAAATTCATTAAATTAAATACAGAGCTATAATTCTGAGAGGGGAATGAGACACAATTTTAATCAACAATACATGTAATTTTGAACAAATGTAAGTGATGGAATATGACAAACATTTCTTTCCCTCTGGCTCTACAAGAAGGAGCCAATTACTAAGTATAGTAGGATGATTTTTTTTCTACAACAAAATCTCCCACATAAGGCTGGTAAACATAGACCTTTTGCTACTTTGCATCCTTTGTAAATGAAAACATCTTGATGAGATAGGTCAGATGAATGTTGCTTACCTTCTGTATCTTACAGATGGGTACTCGCCTAGTGTAGCACACAAAGTAGCAATCTGTTCTGCACATCTTTCCAGGTTTAAAGTACGACCTGCTTGCTTTGAGATTGGATTGTAGAAAAATGGGAAAGTTTCCGCAGAATCAAGAGAGAACACCTGAAAGACATATTTGTCGTGTAAACATTAATTTTAAAAATCTCATGTATTTGAGGAATCTTCCTTTAAATCCTTTAAGCAATAATGTGATTATGTCATTTTTTATTTAAAATTATTTTTTCTTCTCAATTGATATTTTGTAAAAGCATGTGATGTCACAGAAGTTTTTCAATTGATACATTATGCAAGTAAAAATACCCACATATAATAATTTTGTATCTAAAATTGAAGTAGAAATTGGTTTATAAAATGAACTATTTCAAAGTTTTTTGTATTGCATTAAAAAATTTACTTTCATATTTTGTAGTTAATATAATTAAAACACTGAAAAAACAGATGACTACATGCAATTCTTACATTTTAGATTAATGCAAACACCGAGTTAAACTAAGCTAAACCTAACTCCCAGTGTTGATATGGATGCTGGTTATCACAAGCGACTTACAATTAATATACAAGTACACATACCTGTGATTCATATGGTAAAAATGCAATGTTAATCTCCCTCAAGGATTTAATGAACTTGGCACAAGGTGATTTACTAAGTTCATTAAATATCTCATCTGGACAAGCTGTAAAAGAAATGGGATAAATCAATACAACAAATAACAGAGAGTAAATGATGACTAAATTACAGGTCATAATGGGGAATCATTTGCTTTGAAAAGGGGATGCAAATATTATCTCCCCCTTTTATCATTAGTAAGACCGGTTGGTAAGGTATCTGTCTATCAACATTTTTTTTTTGGTGGGGCCTTGGTCATGGTTGATAGTCACAATTCCATCCTACTTCGAGAGTAGTCTTGTTATTGATATGAGTCAAGAGACAGGTTTTCATTATACACTTTTTAAATATTGGGAAAAATCAGTATTTGAAAAATATATTACTGTAAGCAGGAAGAATCAAATACAAAGTGGAATTCACTTTATCATATCATACGTACCTTCAGTAAAAAATACATGAGCGCATTTATACTGATTCTTAGTTCCTGGAAACTCATTCATTAAAGCTCGCACAGACTGTAAAAAAAACCCAAAGAATTCTAAAAGATGATTCAACAAAATATTTTCACACATCAAAATTCACAAATGAATAAAAACTCACGCGTTTACAGAAAATGAGTAAACAATATACATTATGTGTTATTAAAGTCAAGAACTATGTATCACAAGAACAAGTCTACACAACGGAATCAAGTATAATGTTATTTGGTTTCCACAATTAACATGTGTAGTGATCAGAAGTGCCAATCCTTTTACCTTCTCTGTGGGTGTGATGAGGTACACAGATTCCAGAGGAAGGGGTTCTCGTCGCTTGTGCAGATCTTCTACCACTGAAAAAATTAACAAACTGAATTTGAATATCTTACTAATAAAGGACCATCCGTAAAACTGGTCAGGACTTTTTGTGTCTTATACTTCTATAGAAAATTGAAGAACTCCGGTTGTATATTTCTGTTTCTCTCTCTTTTTTACTATTTTAAAATGGTATTGCAAATTACTAATGTCTTTTTTGTTTCATACTGGAGTCAAGTTGAGTAATAAAGGTATACATGGCGTTAACAATAAAGAATATCTTACATGTGATCCCTTCTGACATAATCTCTGTCATCTTACAGCATGATGACACCATGCGTGTGCTGAGTGAGTCCAGAACCAAGACTTTCCATTCTCCTTCTTTCTTCACAGTCCTGATGACTTCATTCATCAATTCTACAAAACACAAAACAAAAACTTTACAATCATATGAATAAGAAAGAAGTATTGGAGACAACTTGCCATACTATAACAAAAGTATCACTACATTCTTGGACATTCATAATTGCAGATTTCAGAATTCTGATCAGCAACAAATTGGTTGGCAGCTGTAAATGTTGAAACAGTCTGGCTTAAATTAAGAACATCCACCTAAGTTAGCCATGTACAGAACCAGTAATAGAAACCTTTACTGTTGACTATCACTGAGAGTACACATATGCAGACATTCCAATACGCATGTCATAGGAATAAGGCAATTTCATATCAGAGACCGAGATTAACTACAATGATTTCATCAACTACCATAAACAGTTTTTTTTAATTCACTTTAAATTACCGCAGTTCTTGATTGTTCAAACCTATTACCTCAATTATTCCAATAATATGTTCCACTTACATGTATGGCTACCGATTTCTGAACTATTTATCATTGTTTCATACAAAGCATAATTGAATACAATAATACATTCACATTTCATGAACAAAGATGTGGTGTTGATTTGTTGGTTATCTATACCACAGTATTTTTTATGTTACTGTATGTCCTCGCTTGAAAATGCAGAGTTTTCAGCAACACAATTCAAAGATATTAGCATATGTTCCTTGGTTCTGCTATTGGCAACCGTATTACCGTGTCCTGTTTTTAGTAACTGTATTCTTCATACATTTTATCACATTCACATTGCAAATATTTTTTGAAAACCACATGAATTTAAAAGAGTCTTCTTTCACACTTGAATGTCAACATAAGATTCTATTATTGAAAAATTTCAGTGACTGTTTTGGCACAGGAGATTCCAATTACATATACTTTGTATGCCCATATTTAATACGAAAATGTCTGTTAACTTACATTAGCATATAATGACTAGTTCAAGAATTTTTTTATATCAATCTGCAGTCAATTTTGAAAAAGCTAATAGAATATCAGAATAATTTGGACTAGCCAGGATGGGAACTGTATTTGATTACCCCAGGTATTCTAAAGCTAACATCACCATTCCAAGATAACTTGCATGTAATGTCTTAATCTAGACATCAAAAAGGTATGCTTATAAAGGTTGAGCATGTAACAGTCAGAGCATTCACAAAACAAAAACAGGTTTTGTGTGCATATTAGCTACTCATCATCTCTATAAAATATTATCCCAACACTACTATTACAACAATCAATTGTACAAACACCAAAAACATCACCACCAGCACCTTACTAACAACTAATCACTAACCCACAGTCAGTCAGATGGGACTTACAATAAGGTCCTGTGTGAGAATGTCCAACTTGTATGACAAAGATCCCTCATTGCTTTTTCGAAAAAGAGCAGGCGTGACAATGCCGGCCCAGGTGTAGGGTTTGATTAGTAATATAGATTATTAATAAGTAATTTTGATGGACTTTGAAACTACTATTAACAATTAATACTATCAATTTACTTAGTGTAGGATCCCCTTCCTCATCCTCTTTGCCTTTCAATGGTCCTCTTGCTGGGATGTGCCAAGTGTTAGGCTAGAACTACAATTAGGCCAAAGGGTTGTCTTCTAAATTATAGTTTAAGAACAGCAAGAAGGAGATGGCCCCTCTCTACCTCATCTCTGAATCACACTCGCTCTCAACGCTTCCTACTTTCTCTACTACTCACTTTTGTATCTTTACCTGTCCACTTAAAGGCCGTATTGGCAAACGTAAAACTGTTAATTAAATCAATGGAAAAATAAAAAGGTAGACTATGTGTCACTAGAATACTGATGCTCACAGGTGAGAAAGTGCCTATCAATACTAAGTAATGGAAACGGGAAAACTGTAACTATCCATGTAGATCTCTGGTGTAATGTGTCTCAGGGAAAACATAGCTAGTACAGCTGGATGCAAAACACTATGGTCTGGTCGAGGACATGTTGATTAATAGCTATTCAGAACTATAGAAAACTCATGAAAAAACTATACTTTTCAGATAAAAAATGAGGGACAAACCATCAGGATGTCATGGATTTTCCCCAAGCTACAGGAGAACTTTCTTTAAAAAGTTTTCATCTCAATAAAAACAAGGTGTCTCAGGTCAAGCCACAAAGATGGAGCGAAGTGGCCCACCTCATTAATTATCGTCAGTCCATTAAGGGTGTAGCTTATCCCACATAAATATTTGTCAAAATTTTCAGTTTTTCGTCAACTGGAATCTACGTGCCAGCGCCATGACCTTGCTGAATAATGCAATATAACAAATGAGAGATGATGAAAAAATGCATCTCAGCATCTGAATGGTTTGTTCACATATGTGTTCGTTCATCATCATGAGACCCTGACTACTGCATCAAAAAATCAATAACAGTCTTCTGATAACGAAAATATATCAGCTACAAACTGCAGTTGAATAAATTAAGCAATCGTATACAATAGTTCAACTATCAAAAGACGTTGTTACTGTGATGAAAACTGGAAAAAAAGATACAATTATCATGCTATTCATGGATAAATTTGTAAATAAACAAATCGTACGATTATGAACTGCCTCCTTCAACGCCATCTTGAATTTATAATTCCGCAGCGACGATGCGCAGAAAATTAACATAAAAAAATATGTACGAATGTAGATTTTGCATTAAACTTTGTTGAAATATTTTATGAAGTTATAAAAGTACACGATTTTCCCTCTTTACATTTATGTTCTCATTATTTCACCGGCCAATCTATCCTCATTTACAAGCCTCGTTTTCACTGACGTCGACTCGCTTGCACACTTTATAGGAAGTGTTTGAGGAGGCTGTACCACTAAGTTCTGGATGTAGTTTTACTGCTCCTGGTGGAAATATAGACATGAAAATACTATTTATTGTGCAAGGCAACAGAAGAAACTGTTGTCATGAGTTCGTCATCTAAAACTGGCAGTCCAGGTAAGCATTTTCATCTAAAACACCATAATTGTGACCTCTTATGAGGTCTTCTGTAGAGAGGTCAGGACCCTGCATCAGTAGCAGGGTAGGTAGTTTGACAGCTTCTGAAACTGATCGAAGAGATAAAAGTTACATCGCATACATATAACTATCAAATAGATTCCCATCAAGATTTGTTCAACTTTGTACTTCTTATGAAGTTAAGATAGCTGCTCAACATAGATTTTGTGATAAAATTTATACTTAATAAAACTTTTTAAGATGAAAGAATGTCTGCTCCTTACTGTAGTAAATTGGTAGAGATTTTTTTTGTAATGTCTTAAAGATTGGGATGTCAGATATTTTTAGCATGAGATTAACAGATGCTTCATTATGATTGGAGTGTTTGAATGTGGATTAAGTATTTAAGTGATTGCTTATCATTTTGATATATTATGACCTGGCAGTCATTGTTGTTAATGTTACTATCTGTTAATTTTAGTTTCCTGTGTGGTTGTAGATGTACATGTACAGATCAAGTGAAAATGTGTTTTCATTAATGTTTATGTTTAATATATGAAAGTACCATTCAATGTCAGTTCATTGCGCCACAAACTTAAATGCATCTATATTGAAGTTAAGTTTATTACCAGTACAGGATCATCTAAGATCCACTACAAGGGTCTGAAATATACAACACATTATATAAATCAATCGTGACACCAGTACCAATTCCTATACAATTTCAGCCTTGTGATTATATAAAAGTTCTTGATCTTTCCAATGCTTATCTAGTATTATTAGAATTAGTTGTGTCTGTGATTATATCTACAGTAAGTATAAACAGTGACCAATATGATCTAATGATTCTGCCAAAACATAAATAACATGTATAATTTTACTAAAATGAACATACTGGTACATTCATATATTTTTTAAAGATTGCTTATAACTACATGTTGGTGGATCATGGTAGTACTAAATTACCTCATGATCTAATTAAAAAATGTTAATGTACTCCTGATCAGATCACCAATGACCATTATTGTCGGAGTGTTTCAAGTCTCAAAGTTGTCTCTGCAAATACTGGGAATAAAACTAGCAGGTAATTTTCCTACAATGATACTTTCTATTTTTTGAACCAATTGTAGGAGTACTTTATCACTAAGCTCTCTGTTTGTACTTGTGGGTATATAGTCATAGCAAATGCTGTCAGATTATTTGCTAAGGACATTCACTTTGTGTAGGATCACACAGAGGTATTTAATCATTTTACTGAAAACTTAATTTGAACAAAAAAATGGAGGGGATGATTCAGCTGTTAAGCAGGCTTGTTATGTTCTCATTGTTATGCCTTGTCAAAGTAGGAAATTCTTTTTAGAGATTTAATGAAAGGACTGTTTTGAAAAAGTGGTGTACATGTACTCTTGGAAGAAAAACCCATCAATACAATAGTAATACATTGCCATTTATACATAAAACTGTAATGAAGAAAAACAAATTGAGACAGAATTAGTGATTTCCCTAATTCATAAAAATATAGGTCAATATATGTAAACACATTGTTACAAAAATGTGGTGACCATCTTGAAAAATACCAAATCAGTTCATATATACTTTACTGAAACATTAAAAAAAAATTAAAAACAGATACATTGTAAAAGATGCTTAATGGCATGAGATGAACCTATGACATGTTATAAGGTAAATCACCACTCATTTATTACAAAGTTGAATATTGTCACAGTAGTTTGAATTGCATGACATTGTATTTTTGAAAGAAAAGGGGAAAATATGCATTCCTACCAAAAGCAACAACCAGAAATCAAATCTTTGTTGATGTCTCTGCCATGATAATCTATGGCTCAACCAACTGAACCAAAGAAGCAAGCTCCATCAGCTGTGTGACTGTATCTAAGACTAGTACAAGCCACACAAAGCCATTCCTTTTATACTACTCCCCCTGTTTTTCTTGAGATTTCCTAAATCTTAACTGCATTCTCTAAATACCACAATGTATGGGATATTATGGGGGGGCCAGTGTGAAAGAACAGGGAAAATGCACATTCCTGCCGAGTGCCCAGACCAGGAATCGAACCTGGGTTTCTTCAGCATAATAATCCACAGCTCCACCAACTAAGCCAAAGAGTAACAGAGGTCATGTATGGTTAGCATTATTACAAGCCACACCAATACACTCCTTTTGCTTTACTCCCATTGCTTTTCTTGAGAATTCCCAAATCTCTACAAGTTATCTAGATATCACACCTCTGGGGATGTTGTGGGCTGCCATTGTGAAAGAACGGAAAATACTCATTCCTGCTGAGTGCCCTGACCTGGAATCAAACCCAGGTATCAGAAATCCAGCATGATAATCCACAATGCCACCAATTAAGCCATAGAGTGGCAGAAACCATGTTTAGCATTATGTACAAGCCACACCAACCTGCTTCTTTTGCATATTCATTGTATGCTTGTCTAAAGTACTAGTTGATTTCATGGTAGAAATGTGCCAGCAAGGCATGGAACTTTGCTGAATTAGTTAAAATACTGGTCAGTTAGGAATATTAACAAACATGTCAATGTCTCATCATACATATATTTCATATTATTACCTTTGCAATTGATTATTTAAAAATCACAGGTATCATTTTATTCCGCACCATAGTGGATATCAATGTAACCGAGTCTGGAAAAGCATGAAAAAGCACATGTCTGTTTGAATTTTGTAGTATATTAACACAATCAGTATGCAAAATGTGGATTGAAACTGGCTACATTGGATCAATGTTTTAATTGTTTCATTGGTAGATAAAGACAAGAAGAATATTTTAAAGTATTTAATTGTCTTAAATAATGAAAAGAATATCATGCAAGGAATTGTTGAACACTGCTGCTTATGTTAATATGTATTGGTGGTGATTGTTGTTGACAATGAACAAATCATAATATTCTCAACTGGCTACCTGTAGATTGCTATCTCCTTATCATTGATTCTGTATATGGTCTCAAACTGTACTATTTAAGCCATCCAAAGTACAGTATAGCCTCTGGCAGGGTCCAAACTATTGTATCAATAGACCTAGAATTGTTGTTATTATTGACAAACATGTTTTCCAACTATCCACCAATTCAAACTGAGTGGAGCTTTAGGTAGATCATAATTAACCCGAGCCATTTCAGGATCAGTTTACAATAATTTACCAGATACATTAATGTTAACATATAATGATACCAGTGTCAGAGTTCAGTTTGGCATCAAAGTTCAAAACAATAAAGAAATTTATATTGAGGTAGAGTTTATTGTTCGTTAAAGTCATGATGAATTTTTCTTGTTCTGCATGAAGAATAATTATGATTTTGTCAAACGTTTATTTCTGTGGTCACAATTGTTCCCCGGAATATTTTTAGACTATAGATAAAACAGCATTGTCTATCAAGGCAGCACCTGGGGAACATCTGCTTTCCTCACATTTAAAAGACATTTAGTTTTTTTTTTCGCTGGGAAAGGAATGAGTGATGATTTCACAAAGGCCGAAGAGCAGGTAATGGGTCTGGCATGCTATTGTAGTTGATCTTGATCTCTAGACCTAATCAGCTAAACAGAATTAAGTATACCCAGCACCGCTGTACCAACAGCTTAAGTGCATTTTGTTGGATGTTCACTAAAATGTTAATGTTCATGCTGTATCAAATTAAAAATCTATTCATTACCAATATCATGTTGCCTTTGCCAACAGTTTTAGTTTTGATTTTTCTACCTAAAGATAATGTTACACTGATTTGTTAATATGAAATCAATAACTTTTACCAAAAGAAAATATGACATTTTCAGTTTTTGTAAAATTTCAGCGGTTTGATACATTAGAAATTATACAAGACATTTATATATATATATTTTAATGTCATTTGCTATAAATTTCTTTGATAGAAATTATTATAGACCCACCAGCTTTATGATCAGGGCAAGATCATGATGAGTTGAAAAAAATAGAGTTCTTTCAGAATGGTTGCTTTATTTGTAGATTATAATACTGGCTAAGCGTAAGGATTTGTGGAGTTTCATATAATACATTGTACATATGTTGTATTGTGTAACGAGTAAAAGTGAGTGGGCGTCTTTTATAGAAAATCAATAGGCAAAGACGACACGTTAGATGTAAAAACCTATATCCTGTCTTTCTATGCTATAATTTTGTTGCTGTCGCCAAGAACATACTGTATGGGAAACAAAGCCTGGCTCTACATCATCTCATACGTCCTTTTCTGGTGCATACTTCTGTTGTACAGGCAACAAAATTTCTTTACTAATAAATGTCAATATGAGTTACATTCATCAAAACACAACTAAACAGAACAGCAGTACAGCAATTGTTGGTGGTGGTGACTGTAACTGACATCCATCAAAACAATTAGTGATTCATTGTAAAGAACAATATGTGGCAAATGTGTATAAATAATGGAGTAGCACAGCATACACTGGTTATGATGTTACTGGGATGTTTAGGGTGATGATTAATCTATTGTGCCCTTCCTTTTCATCAATTGTTGTACTACTGACCCAGTTAACATTGAATCGACATTACTTGCAAGATTACTGATGTGTGGAATACTATAAATAAACTAATATGGAAAATAAGTGAAGTGGAAAATAGTCCTAGGAACTTTATACTGGTGTGGAGAGTAGTCTTAGGAATTATATACTGGTGTGGAGAGTAGTCTTAGGAATTATATACTGGTGTGGAGAGTAGTCTTAGGAATTATATACTGGTGTGGAGAGTAGTCTTAGGAATTATATACTGGTGTGGGGATTATATACTGGTGTGGAGAGTAGTCTTAGGAATTATATACTGGTGTGGAGAGTAGTGTTAGGAATTATATACTGGTGTGGAGAGTAGTCTTAGGAATTATATACTGGTGTGGCCAATAGTCTTAGAATTATATACTGGTGTGGACAATTGTCTTAGAATTATATACTGGTGTGGAGAGTAGTCTTAGAATTATATACTGGTGTGGCCAAT